GAGTAGAAGACGGAACATTTCAAAGTAGCCGCCAGGTAGGTAAGTACATATGGTCTGATCACGTCTATTGCAGGATATGTAGTATGCAGCATAATGTTCTACTATTAGGTACTATTACTACCAATATGATGAGAGGCCTGGGTGGCTAGACTCGAAGTCTCGATTGAGGTTGCCAAAACTTACCATGTAACCCAAGGTAGGGTCCAAGGTCTGTAGAAGGTGCGTCCGCAATATAGGCTGATCTTGGCAGGTACTTGGGTACTGTACGTAATGCGTACCTTGCCATTCATTCTGGAGGCAAAACGGGGGTGGGCAAGAAAATCAACTTTTTTTTTCTGGTTTCTTTTCCCCCCTCCACTCCCATGAACACGTTGAAATCTTTTGGTCGAATGAAAATGAACAGAGTGCACATGATAGGTATCTATTCAGCAGACAGGTAGGTATTATGCGCAACTGCATGGCCGAGGCTCTCCATTCGGACGTTGGTTGTGTGCGTTGTTCCTGTGCTGTGATTGTGATATAAGCCAAACCGCACCCATTTCACTGTTGATTTCTCATCTACCTGTATGAACAAGAAAGAGCAATAGTCACTCAATTCTAAACGTCTGGAAGCGAGCCAAGTGTCCCCTCGTCTAGCCCTCGACCAGACTCTATGGAGTGCAGTGTCGCACAACATGTTCCATGCCGGTAACGACACGGCAGCCGCCTCGCCTGAACAGCCAGATTGGCTGGGCCAGATCCAGAAGGCGACGCCCAGTACGTCAGAAAATGACCATGCGATCTAATATTTGTGTCTATGGGCGCATGAATGTGCGTCTGGTTCTACATGTCAGCATATGCCGTTGATAAAGTATGTACACATCAAATTCCTTTCCACACAATTGGATCAAGTCCCATCATGATCATGGATACGTGTCTTGTATACCTGGTGTTGACATTTGAATGCTGAGACAGCGAGTATTCGTGTACACCACATATACCTTTCTTGTGTATAAATCCTGGACTGGCGAACCCAATATTGGCGAGTAGTGAGCCTAGTAGCAATCTTTGATCTTTGTACAGTTTTGTAGATGTTGAGTTGCATATTCTATCCTGTATCCTGAAATCATCCGACGGTGCCTGTCTCTCCCCATATCAAATACGGACAGGTATTTATACCATGAAGCGGCGTCACCTAGCACGATCCATGGCGACATAGATTCTCTCCTGAGCTGAGCGATAGAGTTTGTGAGGCTTGAACACGAACAAGCTGCTCAGTTTCTCACCCATTCTGCTTGTTGGAAACGTCCCATAATCAAATGAGCGGTGCCTGCTCCATTATAGTTTTTATTTTTGCCCAAATCCGATCTGATTCTCCTTTCACTTATTATTAACCTAACCTACGAAGCTCTGGAAACTTTGAGCCGGCCCCCACTCCCCTGTTTGAGAAAGCCACCCAGTGCTGGCCGGTATTCACGTACCGAAAGCCCCTGGTCGGTCGAGGGCCAGCGAAGGAATACATTGGACCCCTGTGCATGAGGGTCCGGGAGACTGATCCCTACGATATACTACTCACGGTGAATGCCACTACAAAAACGCATATTCTGTCGATTGCTAGGTGTTATACTCGACGCATGGTGATGCGTCTACGGTCTAACCTAGGTATGTGAGACACAGTCTATTACTATTTCTTTTCCCGCTGTGTCTTTGATTATTTGCTTTCTCCTCTTTCCATCTTTGGTCATCTACCTGTTCAGTCTATGTTTGCTCCCGGATTCTATTGAAAAAGCCAAGGAGAAAAAAAGAAAGGAAGAAGAAGAAAAAGAAGCAGATCAAAAGTGCAACTGCAGTGTAGTGTCGTGCAGTTGCAGTGCACTGCAGCGCAGTACAGCGCATCCACAGGCGGCGCGAGAGAGAGAGAAAAAAAAAACCGGGGGCTTCTGGTCCCACGATACACGACCCGCGACGCCGCAACATAGTACCAGGCAAGCAAGCAGGCAGGCAGGCAGGCAAGCAAGCAAGCACGCACGAACCCATCCACGATACTCCCGCTGCACACTTGAAATCTTACGCAGCCGCTGTTGCTGCAGGTGGCTGCAACTACCACACCAGATTTTACCCACTTCAGTCATAAACTCCTGGGTCAACGGCATGGCGGTGAACAGGCATTGAGCCGTTTGGCTGCTGCTGCCGACCTAGGTAAGCGACATGTTGAGCCTCTGACAGACCACAAGCCGCTATTCGACCGCTAAACCGCAAACTCTCCTTCTGGGAGGGGAGGGACATCAAATTGAGAGAGAAAAGCCCTTTGGTTCTTTTTCCGCACCTCTCGATGTACCGACAACCTACCCTACCTTTTCATGTTTACGCTCCGAAGAGGTTCCATGTATGTCCTGTTACCTACGACGTACCTACTCTGGCTGCATGTTGCAACGAGCCCGCCATCACTTTGTTCTTTTTCCAAACTTGAATCCCCTCCATCTTTATAGTTCCGTCATCTTGACTTGACAGACTTGGCAGCGCTGTGTCATTTTATGTCATTTGTGTCATTGCCGTGCCTATTTCCATTGCCTACTATCTCCAGGAGGTACATACAAACATTGCACTGGCACTACACTACACTACACTACCTTACACTACCCTACATTACGCTTGCGCTACATAGTACGGCGAATATACCACATTACCCCCCCTGCCCGCTTATATGCGGCGGTCTGTGTTCATGTTCCCATCCCAACCGAGAAGTGCAGAGGCATGAATCGACAAGCATACCGCACAAGAAAAAGCATCATTTCATTGCGCAGGCACTTTCCTTATTGTGCTGTAGGTATTGAGTAGCTGACAAGACAAGTTTTTGGAGAAAAGCAGTCAACGTATACACCGCGTGATCACTTCTGGCTTTTCTTTCCCTTTCCATCCCGATCGGTGCACACTCTCGGACTCTCTCATACGCGTGCAAAAAAACATACAATAAGTCAGTCAAGTGCCTCCTGCTCCCAGCCCACTGTGGTGCACATCAAAAGATCCAGGCCTCGCCGATCTCTGCACTCGAGGACAGGACACAAGACCCGAGATCCAGAGCCCAGGACCCCAAAGCTGGACTCGACTTCTTTTTTGTGTTTGAGATCATCGCTCTCTAGTCACACCAAAAAGTCCTGCTGAAGTCGGAAACAAGAATCCCATCCTCTCAAGAAAACACCCCCTCCACATAATTAATCCCAGTACATTATAAACAATCAGCGTACACATCACCAACTGTGCACGCACACACAAACAATCGAGCCGGATACATTGACACATTGCATCGGCAAAAATAGATTATTATCGGCAGCCGCTCCTACCTACATACCTACCTATCTCCCTATCTACAATCAATTCAATCAATCATATCCCCAAGCCTCTCTACTGTTTACTGCGCAGGGCAGACCGGAGCACAACTAAAGGGAAAGAAAAAACGAGACGACCAGGCCTTGACCCAATTACCGATCTAGCTCACCTTTTTCACTGCATCACCCGCAAGAAAGCTTGCCAGGACGCGGCTGCACGTCGTTGTCCCGCGCTCACCCCAATAGCCTGCCATTCACCACCCGCCATCTCCTGTGCGCCGCCAGTGAGCCCGTCGTTGGGAGCGTTTCTCGCATCACATTGGCTAACCCGTCCATCAGCCTGCGAACGCGGGTTACTCTTTCTGGTTGGTCAGTCCGGGGGCACGCACTTGGATTAACTTACGAACCAGAACCCCAGCAAGTCCCAGTACAGTAGTACAGCTCAAAGCATCAAGCTCTCTCCAGTCTCCTCTACCTTACCATAAAGGAACGTACATCAAAGGACCCCTCCGCCTTTTCGAGAGCAGAGTAGAGCAGCGACACGAGACAAGATCCGGACCCAGGGGAGAGAGAACTTCGTCCAGCTACTTTTCATTTTTCTGTCATTGGTGGTTTTTTGTCCTTTTTTTTCCTCTTTTCATTATTTACATACTACATAACTTATCGGGGTTCCCCCCCTCCCAATTCTGCTCACTGCTACCTACATTTTACCTACTTAACTCACAATTCATTCACTCCCTCTCCCTTGACATACCTACCGTACCTAGAAGGGGTAAAAAATCGCCCCCCCTTTGTGCACACGCTAGATTTGTGTGTCCACCGCATGACACAGGTTCCGGCGTGCTCCTGACGCGCTTTTACTCCTCCGACCTGCTTGGGTCACCGGCCGTCTCACCTACGCCAGAGTCCGTCCCGTCGCCCGCCGTGACGCTCGATAATCCCTGCTTGGGGTCCCCCAGGTAAGTGAGGCACTGCCCTTTGTTTAGACCCGAGTCAGTTCAGGTCGTTCTCCAGCGCTGTGGCTTTCGCCACTAACACCGTCTGGTGACCAGCCCCACCAGACCTGACCCTCCTTGCCGGGATTTCTTCTGGTTCTGAGCCGAGAATAGCAGAGTTGACCTTTCTGATCTTGTTTTGTTTTAGTAGATTATCGAGTCCCCGATCTTGATCTGGGAACCTATTTTTCTTTCTTGTGTGTGGAGGGTAGAGCTGTGGCAGAAGACAAACAGACAGACTCTGACGATTCACAGCAGCTGTCTGTGTGTGATTGAGAGTGAGTGTGTGTTTGTTTGTTTGTTTGCCAGTGCAAGAAAAAGAGGAGAAGAGAAGGAAACCGCAAGAAGGGAAAAAGAGGGTTTGTTGGCCGCTGCAGGAACAGAGGTTTTCCACCATTTCCTTTCCCCAGTGACCCTGCGATGGAAATGTGCAGGCACGCGAACAGCATTATATAACAGGTCAGTTCGTCAAAAGTCTCACCTTACAATTAACCCCCCGTCTCCCCCGGCCGGCTGTTCATGACCTGTAGCAATTTCCCTTTGGTCTCCCTGTCCTGTCTGCTCTTGTCTTATCCATTTTTGTCTTGTCTGTCTTACGGCTAGCTGGCTGGGCTTTTTTTTTTTTTCCCCTTAGCAATTGCCCGCGCGCCCGCCATAATTCATGATGTTTCTGACCCCCCGCCTAGCTTAGCACAACGCCATGGAGGAACCTCCCATTGTCGTGTTGAACCCGGAGCAGGAGCCAGTAGAAACACTGCGCGATGTCTTGCAGTATGCTTACCCAGCCGTCCTCCTTTTCACCTTTGTTATCGTAGGCGCTACCGACAGCATCATTGCCGCCTCTCGCAGGGACGATGTCGTGGTTCCCACAATTACAGGGCCTGGGGGGAAGCCCCTGCCCGTCACGAAGCGCAAGCGAGAGAGCCAGGATAACGACGAGCAAGAGGAGCACTACAGCCCGACGACCAAGTCCTTCTTTCGGTGCTGCATGATGTTGGCAACCTTCACCTTTTTCTGCGCCGGCGCCGTCATCGCCGCCCGAGCCTTGTACAACCGCACCGCGTCCGGGGGACATGGGTGGTGGTGCGGGGAGCCCAAGACAGTAAGTCACATCCATCCATTTCATGCCTCTGTCCAATACCATCCCGGAATGTCCTCCTATGGTCGTTTCGGAAGCCTATACCAAGGTGGAAAAAGCAAAGAAAATCATACACAAACAATTGGCTAAGATTTTTACTTTTTCTTCCTCTTCCACAGGTCTTTGTCCTGGGGTCCGCATTTCTATACCTCTATGTGACTGTCACACTTTTCGATTGGGTAGCGAGTCCATTCCTTGTTCACCTGGTTTTCTGGTGCATCGCATTCATTGGCGACCTGATGATCCTGGTCTCGGATGTTGTAGTCCTCACCAGGCCGCACAATGTCATGGTCAACTTGAAGCATAGCAAGTACATTGTCATCAGCGGCACCAATGCATGGGACCAAGCCGACTTGAGCCTGGCAGGGCTGCGCCTTGGCCTGTTGGCCGGTGTGCTCATTGTCTACAGTGCCATGGCATGGCAGCGAAGGCAAAATGAGCGTGCGCGACTGGCAGAGCTATATGCTCCCGATGTCGACGAGACCACGCCTCTGATCAATGGAAATGGAAACGGCCATCACGCGAATGGACATGCTCGAATGGGAGTCAACCAGGGTGCTAATGGCACAGCCGAGGGAATTTCCGCCCCTACAGTTGATGAGGAAGCAACCTTTTACCGACCTGAAAAGCTACCGCATACCACCTGGTATGAATACCTCAGAGGCTATTCGGTTTTCTTCCCCTACATGTGGCCCTCGAAGCACTTCCGACTCCAGGCAATTGTGATTATTTGCTTCATTCTCATGATACTGCAGCGAATTGTCAATGTCATGGTCCCGAATCAGATTGCAGAAGTCACCAATGAGCTGTCTGGGGATGATCTCAAGCCTGGAGAACAGATGACGATGCCTTGGGTATCCCTGGGGCTTCTCATCCTGTACAAGCTGCTCCAAGGTCCTTCGGGTCTTCTCGGATCGGTGAGATCGCTGATCTGGATTCCAGTGTCACAGCACTCGTATCAGGCGCTTACCACGTCGGCCTTTGAGCACGTCCACTCGCTCAGCTTGGACTTTCATCTCGGGAAGAGGACTGGAGAGGTCTTGTCGGCTTTGAACAAGGGCTCATCAGTCAACTCTTTTCTCGAGCAAGTGACGTTCCAGGTCTTCCCCATGCTTATCGACCTCTTCCTGGCCATCAGCTATTTCTTCTGGAAATTCGACGTCATCTATGCTGTCTTTGTCTGCATCATTACGTTCTACTATCTGTTCCTGACAATCAGAATGGCGCAGAGCACGGTCGACCAGAGAAGGCTCATGTCCAATGCCGATCGTGAAGAGGAGGCAGTCAAGAACGATTCCATCATCTCCTATGAGACGGTCAAATACTTCAATGCGGAAGAGTTTGAGTTCAAGCGCTACCGACAGGCCATCAAAACCTTTCAGGCCGCCGAGGCAAAAGTTACTTGGAGCGTGTCATCCATGAATATCTGTCAGTCATTGGTGTTCATGACGGGAATGCTGATAGCAATGATGCTTTCAGCATACCAGGTCAGCACTGGACAGAGAAGAGTTGGCGACTTTGTGGCTCTCATGACCTACCTTAATCAGCTACAGGGACCCCTCAACTTTTTTGGTACGTTTTACCGAACCGTGCAGCAGGCAATGATATCTGGCGAGCGCCTCCTGGAGCTTTTCAAGCAACGGCCCACCGTTGTGGACCGACCCGGCGCCAAGCCCATTCCTCCGTGTGATGGGCTCATTGAGTTCTCCAAAGTACAGTTTGCCTATGATCCTCGACGACCGGCACTGCGAGATCTGAGCTTCAAATGCCAGCCAGGTACCACGACAGCTTTGGTGGGAGAATCGGGAGGCGGCAAGTCGACATTGTTTCGACTGCTATACCGCTACTTTAACAGCACGGGCGGTGTGATTAGAATTGACGGTCATGATATCAAGGATGTCACGATTGATTCTGTTCGACGCCACATAGGTGTGGTGCCGCAGGATACCGTCTTGTTCAACGACACTCTGATGTACAATCTGCGCTACGCCAATCAGAGCGCCACCGAGGAGGACATCATTGCTGCTTGCCAGGCTGCGAGCATACACGAGCGAATCATGTCGTTCCCCGACGGCTACTACACCAAGGTTGGCGAACGCGGTCTGCGGCTAAGCGGCGGTGAAAAGCAGCGGGTAGCAATTGCCCGAACGTTACTCAAGAACCCCAAGATCATCATGCTGGATGAGGCGACGTCGGCACTCGATACCCAGACGGAACAGGAGATCCAATCCCGGCTTGCTAAGATTGGCCAGGGCCGTACACTCCTGATCATTGCGTAAGTACAGCCCCGAAGCTTGCTTCAATTGATAATTGCTTGCTACTTTGGATCGTGCACTAACACTCTGCCACCAGCCACCGCCTGTCTACCATTACCCACGCAGACCAGATTTTAGTCCTTAAGAATGGCTCAATCATCGAAAGTGGTACTCATGAGCATCTACTAGAGCAGGGCAACGTCTACGCCAAAATGTGGAGTAAACAAGCCAAGGCTCAAAAGGCTGCTCAGGATGCCTTTGCGGCTCAGAACAGGGCCGAGAAATATTTGCGCAAAGCCTCGCTCAACGACAACGGGCAGGATGACGACTCGAGCAGCTCTTCTGATGAGTCTACGCGCAACAACCAACGTTGTGGACATGACGGCGCAAAAACTTGACGTCCGCCACGCAATTTCTTGTTGAACAGCGCTTCATGATTGCAGACGCAGGACAAGACACGGAAACAAAGACACAACCCTCCACATTCAACGCAGCGAACGAAGTCTCTAATCGTAATTATCAACTCGAAATAACTCGTATCGACTTCATCCCAATCATTGTTACATATATATTGCTTTCTCCAGGTTTGGAGCCCTTACAGAAGGGGCTCTGTACGTCCAGATAGACGTCTTTCTCCCATTCATCAGCATCAGTGTGGCGTTTCGAGGCTGGCATATACAAAACGGAATCCAAGGAGGGGAGGTTTATGGGTTCCGGATGACGGTTGTTGCATTACATATTTATTCAAGGTGCGCGCACGATACCAAAGAGGTCGGTCCGTTCATGCTTCAGAAAGACTTTCTTCGCGTTTGGTTTCATTTTTGGTAAAAGGCGGTCCTGGAAGGGATCGATTGGCTTCTTACTGCTCTCTTTTCCTCATTATTAAAACCAAAAAAAGGCCACCCTGACTTTCTTTGCCTCTGGCGTTTTCTGTAGTCAGTCAGTTAGTTTTCTCTTCTGTCTGGCATGGATTTGGGAGGGGCAATTGTGTCCATCGTCGAGGCTCATAGTCCGCTGGAAATGCGATATGCGACGATTGGTAATGGTCAAATAGTATGAACTGACTGCATAATGAGAGACGAAAGGGGGAGGGTTTATTTAGAGACATGAAGTGTATGTTGGCATGATAGAACACCACATAAGTCGTGGTGACGGATATGAACACAAAATGACAACCGGACACAATTGGCACAGGAACCAAAAAATAAAACATGCGCTTCACTTCTTAGTTATTCGTACGATACTATGGCGAAAGCCGCTGTGACCATGTAAGCATCACCATTGAGGACATATCTCGAACCTAACCGGTCTTGCTCTTTCCTCATAGCGAGCAAGATTCCAACTAACACCTTCCCTCGGGATAATTGCCTTCCTTGAAGCTAGATTCAAGCCCAAACGCCTTGCCTAGACCAAATCTCCTTTTGCTCCCTCTACTCCTCTAAGGTGCCAAACATGATACGCAGTTACCCAACATTCCCCTCTGACATTTTGCTCCACCTCCACTATACTCTAGAGCCATTATCGCTTACATTGGTTTGATCATTCATTATACAAATCAAGTCTCTTGGCCCACTGCTCGATTACCTCTTTCACCCGACTTGACCATGGACAGCGACACCTTAATCACAGATGGAAGTGGCTCATCGTTTAGTAATGAATCGAACACCAGTGGTACTTGGGAGAATCTCTCAAGTACTTGGAAGAATCTCGAAGCAACCGGCAAAAGGCCATCGCAAGACCGGGCCCAGGCCGCCGTGGGAAAGCATGGGTCAGGCAATGATGACGGCGGCAAAGGGACACAACAGTCGCGTCTCGGCCAACGTCCTCTTCACTGCACGAGTCGGCAAATGATGCGGCCCATGCTTGAAACAACCGAGGTACACTCCTGTTTTATTGCTTCCTTCCTGACAACGTCTTGTCTTTTTTCTCTTCCTTCTCTTCTCGTGTCCTGTTTTTACTCGTATCTTCTTTGCACCAGCACATGCTCACACAAATCATATTCACGCACAGACAAAGAACTTCACAGAAGTGGATTCAACCTGGGATGCTGTATGCCTCATGAGACTTTCTAGTCCACTAGGCTATTTTATAGATATACGACTTCCAGAGAGTGAGATCGTGGATCGCCAGCTCAAGAGGCGGGATGAGCTCTTAGCAGAGCCCATGGTGACACCCAATGGCCCACCAACAGAAAAACGTCCAACGAGGGGTGAGCACTTTGCTTATTTGTGGGCTTTTGCTGGTTTCAAGACGCACATACTTGACGACTTTGACATGATTGAGCAAGAGGGTCACCACAAATGGGGTATTGAACAAATGAAGAGCTTCCTGTGGGACAAGAATCTCCACATCATCATGAGAGGTAACGAGTACAAGCCAGTGGAGGGGACCTGGGACGGAGATGCGAGAACGTCGGACATGGTCAATATGAGTGATCACGGTGGATTTACTGCCGTATACCTCTCAAGTGGAGTGGAGAAGGATCTCGGACAGCGCGCAACTTGGGAAGAGATGCTGGCCCAGTCCACCCAACTAGACGGCCGCGGTATCGTCATTCGCATCAGTACCCTCATGCTTGGGATGTACATATGCGGCAACGGCAAGCTCTCCGCCTTTAGGGCCCAGATGGACGCAGGCCTTGATCACGTGCAAGAGATCGCCACGGTTGGCGATCGGACAATGTTTCCCAAAGAGGTCTTCGAGGATTGCCCCAAGGAGTTTCTCGAGGGCGATGTTGTGAGTTCATGTTTCCGTACTCCGGTCTTCTTTGAGATTCTTGTACAAAGTACCGCCTCTGGGCAATCAATATGAAAATACTCAAGGCGTTTTCGTTTCTTTGACATGATCATTCATATAAAGACACTGCTAACACGAATATCTTGCTTATAGTTCCAGACCACAGTCGTTGAAGAGATGCCGTCCAATGATGAGTCTTCGTCAGAGGATGAAATGCCCTCGGCCAAGAAACTGTCGTCTGTGTATTTCTGGCAGGTCACTGAAAGCTAGGCGCCTTCATCCAGAGCGCGTCCGCTGCGCCCACCGCCGACGCCAAAGTTGTCAAGGTTGTCAACCCCATCGGACCTATCGAATCTATCGGCCCTATCGAGCCTATCAAACCCATCAAACCCATCGAACCCACCAAAATCGGCGACATCGTGAGCAGCAGATGTGGCTTGAAATTGCAACAGTCTGGACCAAATATCAAGTAAATGACGAGGACTGAGCGGAAGCTTTTTTCGGGTTGTAACCATGGCGATTTTGAGACATGGCGTCGAGGATTAGAAATGTCTGGATTTCTGGTATTCTGGAAGCGTTTGCATTTGTATAGAAGCGAGTGTCCATAGATTGGTGTGCCGGCATGAGCGTCAGTCTCGAGTTATTGTAATATACTCTACTTTGTAATATGATATATCCTTTCGCTCATTGTCTTTTTTGGTGTGTACATGACAACCTTTGGTGTGAGATATAATTTTCTATTCCTACGAGGACCCCAGGCAAGTCCTCATTGGCCTGTTCATTCTGACCAAAACTTTTCCTCGACCAAATGTCAAGCAAAGAAGGATTCCTGACAAGACTTGCCGAGACCTGGCCTAGGTGATAGTTATTGCTTCATGTGTCATTATTTTCTTATTATTACTATTATTCTTCTCACCTCCACCATTCGTCCCGCCCTGTAGACGTGGTACTAATTTCCATTGTCCCGTATTCTTCATGTTTCTCCATTACTTCATTATCTTGTTCAACATGATTGTTACAAGTCTGGTCTCTTCGGGAAGGAGAGAGGGCCCTCTGTCCCGTTTCTTCCCAAGGCCCTCCCCCAACTGTTGTGATTCTCAAAACGCCGCTTTGGCCTTGTAAATGTGATGATGCGTATGTCCTTCTCAAGCTCGACTTGAACCCCCTCTTCCATTACTCATACGCCATGAGAGCAATTTTGGGTTGAGATTTTGTTTTTGCTCTGTCGCATTGCATCATCTCTCCCCTCATCTCTCTCTCTCTCTCTCTCTCTTATCCGCCCCATTGTATGAAATGCACAAAAGTGTCGTTAGATGATGTTATTTATTATTTCCTCCCGCTTATTGAGCCGAGTTAACTTTGATCATCTGAAGCGAGTGTCGTAAGAAAAAGTTGTAAGGAAAAGATCTCTCGAACTTTTTTGATTCCCCTTCCCTCTATCCGAGACACTTTTTTTTTGCTTTTCCGACATTGCTATCCTGGCCAAGACGAGCTCTCTCCTCTCAAACAAGCCTCACGGCAAGTCATTAATTGGTCTTCTTTACCGCGCTTTGCCATTTACCTTGACGGCTCCGTTTGTCGCGTGTCCGTTGGTGTCCTCCTTGACCAGCAGCGGTGTCTCCTCGGCCTTCTCCGTCAGCCGCTGGAGCTCAACCTTCTTGCGCTCGAGCTCCTCGCGCTGAACCTCGAGCTCGCTCTCCTCGGCCTCGGAGCGGTCGTCCTCGGCAACATTTTGGGTGACGAAGCGGTAGGCGATGCGCACAATGAAGAAGAGCCAAAAGAGGTTGAGGGCCTGGAGGGCAGCCAGCAGACTGAACGTGATGACCTGGCTGAGGCGGCACTTGTACTGCTGCGTCTCCCAGTTAATCTCAAAGGGACCGACGGTGGTGAACTCGGTGAGGATGGACCAAATGATCTTGAGATTCAAAAAGTGGCGCAGGTAGACCCATGAGCAAACAAAGACGGCAAAATACGGGCCCATGATGGAGCTGTCGAGGTAATTGAGAGTTTTGGAGGTCTAGAATGGGGTAAAGAGAAAAATCAGCTCCACGAAACCACCTACAAGAAGTACAGGTTAAAATTCCGGAAAAGGGGCAATCTTACAGCCAAGAAGAAATCACTGATATCGTGCGTGATATAGACAGCAAGGCCCATGTATGTAAAGTGGAATCTGTAGCTCAGCGCAATGAGCATCAAACTGACAATGTGGTGACCGACCAGCTCCTTGAAGTCCTTGCGCCGCGCCTCCTGGCCCAACACCAGGACAATGGCCTGCTGGGCCCAGTAGGCGGCCTGGAACAGGTAGTAGAATTTGAAGTAGGCCTCGTGCGTCTTGTGGGGGAAGCCTTCGTACATGCCCGTCGTGTTAAAGTACCAAACGGGCGTCCGGCTCATGACAAACATGCCGGCCGGACCCAGAAAGGCAAAGTAGACGGCCGTGTAGGCCTGCTCCAGGAAACGCGCCTGCTTGCCACGGGAGCGGATGCCATAGTAGCGAGCAATCGGCCGGAGCAGCTCCTGCATGATGAATTCGCGCGTAAAGGACAGGACAATCGTGTAAAAGGTCACAAAGGCAATATCCCAAAGCCCCTTGCCGTACTGGTGGGGCGTGGTCTCGGGGTCGGCGCCAGCTTCGAGGGGCAGCTTGTACGAGAGGAAGATGAAGTGGTGGAGCGGATTCGACTCGTTCGGATTGATGGCATAGAGGGCGCCAAAGACGGCCAGCAGCACCAGAGGTAGTGTCCAGGTGTGCTTGGCCGAGAAGCGCACGAGGCGGCTCATGAGAGAGCGAGCCTTTCTGCGCTTCGAGTGCTTCTTGGTGGCGGCATCCTTCTCTCCGGATAGCTGGCGCACGTCGCCGTTTAGGGAGGCAGAGGAGTGCGACGACGAGGGCGGGGAAGAATCGTGAACGCTCGCCAGGCCGCCGGTGCCCAGGCTCGGTGCGCCTGTATCGCCGGCACGAATCTCCTGGCCCAGGGCGCTCGACTTTCTACGCCGACGCGGGGCAGTCGAGTCGGCGGCCGGGAACTGATCGGCCGAGGTGTTGAGGACGGGAAAAGGTTCCGAGTCGCCGGCCATGTTTGGAAATTGCTTCTGTGGGATCGAAACAAGATTGGTCTCTCGGTTGACGCTGGGAAGGGAGGGAAGAGGAGGACTAAGTTAGAGAAGTTGTCACTCAATAAGCTTTAGTTCCAGATCACTCCTTTTTTTTTTGTGCCGAGCGCCCAGTCGACCGAGACGTGTGTAGGGGCGGGATGATGGACTAGAAGCGCAAGTTTTTAGACTTCTGCCGGGTCAGATTACGTCGTTTTTCTGTCTGCTGAGACGAGAGATTCTCTTGTGTACCCTAGAGCTGAAGGAGTGAAGCAATCCAGGAGGGAAGCTTGGTGTTGGAAGAAAGCTGGGTTAGCAATCAGGAGCGTGAAGAGGGAAAAAAGAAGAAGATCGGTCAGTAGCAGACCATGTTTGAAAGTAAATAGGGATAGCTAAGTAGGTACAATAATTTTTTTTTCCTTGCTAGGTTCAATGCAAGTCACCAGGAGAAAGACAGGTAGGTGTATTCTACCCTACGTGCCTTGGTTAGAGGGTACCTTACCTCACCTAGCAGCAGCCATGGACCCTGCTTGCTTGCCGGCACAGTGGAGTGCATCCGCATAAGAACCCCTGTGTCGAGTCCGACGCCTTACTTTTTGGCAGCCCTTTGGCGGGCTTTTGGCAGGCCTCTATCGGTGTACCTACTTCACAGCACCCGTGACATGCCACACAAACCTTTTAAACTGACCTAACGCTGCCCGCGGATCGCCGCCAGTCGTCGGTGGGTAAACAAGGTCCAATCTCAATTTCCTCAACTGGGTTGACCACCACTCATCGATCGGATTGCTCGGGCGCCGGGCGACTCTTCTCTGGGTATCGAAGCATTTAGGTGCATGATTCGTGCGAATCTCCATCGTCATCTGACCTTGATTATCATACTCGGTACTTTGACGCAATGACTCTGGAGTACACTCAGGTAGATTAGGTTATCATCGGAGGTAAGAATGGGAGGGAGGACATGGTTTATATGTAAGACCGACCGAGGATTGGTTTTATTCAAAGTCCCAAAAATAAACCATTGGGTCTCGTAAACTTGATACATGTATGTCTCTCAATCCAATGTGCGCATATGCCATAACGCACGTGTTGCACCTTTAATTCAACGACATGGTGTTTTGATGAACCATTCTTTTTTCTTTTGGTCTTCTGGCGCCATCGCTCAAGAGCACGCGTTTTACGCTTGAGTACGCCAAGATGGTCCGGCATGGGCCCGACGCATCGCTGATCTCATTGCCGTAATAAGTCGCGTTGCGTTGGGACGAAATAGGGGTCCAATACCTACTTTTGGTCCCTTGTTCATGTCTTGGGGCTTTGTGAGTGACAAGACAGAACAACGAGAAGCAAATCAGTCTATCCAATGAGGAACTCCGTAATCCCGAGTATGCGACAAATATCAACAAGTGTAGCTAAGTCATAATTATATATAGTCAACCCTCATTAAATTAGGTAACTTTGTATATTACTGATTTCCAGAGTTTCCTTTACTTATTTTTTTTTTGGTTCAGGGCCACCCACCGAGGCAAAGCGATGTTAATTTCACTACCTCTCTCGTCATGTATAGCAAATTGTAATGCTAAAAATGTCTTTTTGCAATTCACATTACGGTACAGCCTAAAGGGGGGGGGGGGGGGGGGGGGGATATTCACTCCAAGATACGTAAATGATCAAAAATTCATATCATTCATATGACTTTAGTATCGAGCCATCTCCCGAAGTACTCGACGTACAATCGACTTTCCTGCACTATAGTCGTTCTATATACAAAGCTCCTGAGTGCCAGAGCTTAGGTACGGCTGCCCTTAGTCATACCGTAATGACCATAATGTGCAAGATCTTTCCAAATATATATACAATGTGTTTTCCGTAATCCGCGCTTCTAAAATGTGATGAAGCATGCAAATGATAACCCGCTTTTGAACCATGGTGACCCGCGCCGCGCTTAAATCATAATGCAGAGAAAAGAGAGAATACAGAAGTCTTCCAAACCCTCGAACCTCAAGACCTCGAATGGTCGTCATCAAAGACGTCATCTATAGGTCGTCTGGGTGCGGAAGGAGACAATGGTGAGACCGGAGTCCCGCTTGACGAATGTTCTCCTGTCCGCATTCGAGGTGTGACTGGTGACACTGGTGAGTCGACGCTGTCTTGTCTCCAAGTCCTGAGCTGGATTCCGTCTGTTCTCGATACCGGGCTTCGCATTGGTCTCGGTACAGTCGAGGTATTACTATTGCTCCGAATATTCATGGGTGGATGAGGCGTTCTGGGACTTTGCGAATTGCTGATAGCCTCTCGTTCTTCCTCTTCCAAAACCTGGGCGAGTGCAGCACCGCGCCGAGGTGGAGGAGGAATGACGGTCACCTCGAGACTGTCTGTGTCTGGAGTCGGTTTGAGCTTTTCCCGTATCCTTTCGGCTTGCACAGCAGCAAAGTCTTCCCATCGGTCCCTGATATCCCACCAACCTCGACTCTCATATTCACGCGGAGCAGGCTGAGACTTCTGCGTATGCGGTAAAACCTCGGCGGGCGGTGCGTTAGCACCAGAACGCAGTCCGAAGCGGGATCGCCACCCGTCGGTCTTTGCTGTTGTCTCAGTGATCGGAGGATTGGAGTCAGCTACATTTACTGCTGGCGGGCTAGCTGGCGCGTTTTGAGGATTCGAGGAGACTCGACTGTTGGTCCGTGATAGAGGCCGATCTGGTCTTTCATCTGTCGTCCGCGAAGCAGTTTCCGTTCCAACTTGATAGCGCACGGCATACACTGTGCTGTCAGCACTGGCTGTATCTGTCCGGCTAGGCGGCGTCACTGCCGGTGGTGGGCGAGAGATCCATAACGGCGGCTGAAGTAAGCGAGTTGCTGACCTGCCCGTGGCTTGGGCTGTGTTGTCAGCATTTGCCTCTCTCTCACCAGTGTTGCTACCAGATCGGGACTTGTAGCGACTAGCAATGGAAGACATTGCAGGCCACATGTTGCTTCGTCCTGTCGAGGCAGTTCTTGCACTTCTTCCCTGACCACTCTCGCCACTGTCGTCATCGTCTGACTTCTTTGTCCTTCTTCGTCGGGGCCATACGAAATCGGTGCCAAGTCCATCCATCATCTCATCCCCTTCAAAAACTTCCCGCCCCAAAATACCATCCTTCTTTTCTTCTCTTTCCAATGCTTCAATGCGCTCGACCCACTCCCACACAATAACACTGGCTGCTGCGGCTCCAACCCATCGCACATAATCACCCCATCCAGTAAAGTCCGGCTTGGATATGTCGAGAATGAAAAAGACGACGGGAACGAGAATCGATATGACTGAGAGCACAGCAACTAAGCTGATGTTTCTCATCAAGGGATGGTAATAGGCATAACGCTTCTTCATGAAGCTATAGTAAATGACCCAGGCAGCGTAGAGAAGCCCGAGTGAAAGTTGAAATAGATAACTCAACGCCGGTACGGCATCGGTAAAATTGCTGGGTCTCACATTTCCAGGTCCGTTGTATAGGAAGCTGTTGAGAGCACCAAATATAACATCCAATGTGATGAGAGAAAAGGCAGCCCATTTGATAATCACCTTTTCGCGCTGGCGCGGAAAGAGGCGGATCAGAGTCTGAGCTTGCGCGAGCCAGAGGAACGTATCGGAAATAAGGCGAATAACCTTGAGCTGAGTTCCGTCCAAAACTTCATCCTGAAGCACTTGGGCGTTCTGGATGCCCGTGGCATATTGTTCCTCAGCAACCCGGAACGTATCAGCACTGGCGATCGTCAAAGAGATGGCAACAGTAAGAGCGGCGACCTTTTGAAGCCATGGCCGTCCTCCAATGCTAACGCCATTTGATGGTCCATTCGTGAATCCTCTCCGACCCAAGACAACAACTCCTCCGTCCAGAAATGATCGGGGTGCGATCAGTAACACGATGACTAACATGTAAGCAATGATTGTTGTTGCGGCGAGTGCATAACATTGCGGAAATGTTGAGGCGTAAAAGGGATCACGAAAATCTGAGAATTTTGGGTCGGCGGAGGACCCGGTTGTCGAGGTCGTTTCATCAATGCTAATGGCATTATTCCCAATAATGGCCGGCCTGACGGTGATAGGTAAAGTTGTGCAAGAAGGTTCAAAGACTGCAGCGGCGGCCAAGGTAATTGTTTCTCCGTTGCTCAGTGTCAACACTGCATCGGCAGGAAGCTCGATAGATGAACAGCTACTCGACAAGTCCGACCTTGGTAGATGTACCGCGGCCGCGCTCGACGGATGCCGCGCATCGTCCATCTTGGGGAAGACCTGAGCGAGCGGCCAGCCGCTAGGCAACGACGTTGAGGCGGTGAGCTGCGCTATCTGGGGGCGTACGCCATGGAATGCTCCTCGGCCCTTTCGCAGGGCGTTCGACGTTGAGTAAATAGGTTGGAGGTTGAAATGATCGAGGTACGGTGGTGGCGAGAAGTTGGACGTCGTCGTACTCAGGGTTCCGTAATCTCACGCGCGCGTTTTTCTCGGATGATCGCAAAGCGGCGCCACGACACGGCGGCTTAATTCAGTAATTCAAAGAAGTCTTTGCGATGATTGTAGGTCCTTTCCAGATCTCTGATGCTTCCTCCCGTCGCAATATATTTGGTGCTGGTCGTTGGGCGAATTGAATGTTGAAAGGTCGAGTTGTACGGCGGGGATTGGAATCTCGAAGTATGGAGAGTTGCAAGTCTGGGCGCCGAGAGATTCTTGGGAGCGGACGGGAGAGACAAGATATGGGGGGGAAGCGCACGCTGATTTGGGGGGGAAGGCGTCTTTGGTGCAGTGGGCTGGGCCAAACCGGGCCAGGTGTCGCAACGGGTGAAAACTGTGCTAGAAGGGAGCGCGCTAGGTACATGTTAGGTGAGGGAGGCCCCGGTAGGTACCTTGCCAACGGGGGACTGCTGGCCAGGCAGGCAGGTACTACACGTACCTACCTAGGTACAGGCAATGTAGGCCTGAAATGTCAAGGTTGGTTGCGTGCGGTGCACCTCAAGCCGGTGCGACTCTCTGGTCCACGGTCCACGGGCACAGGTATTGATGGCAGGGAATGTAGTGGTAGGTGCACTGTTCCTTTAGGAGGTAGGGGAGCCAAGGAAGCCCCTGTTCAACTGGCAGAGTGGCAGTGAGCATGCTGCACTAGCCTGTAATGGGAAGAGGCATCTGACCTTAAGGTTTAGTGGTGTGGAAAACATGGGCTAGGCCGTTAGGGATCACATCGGCAGGAAAGAAATGGCAACGCTTTTGGGCCACTCAAAACCCATTAATGGACTCCGAGATTGGCTCTTCTAAATCTCTTTTGTTAATCCTCGTCGGCACCAATGCATGTACGTATGTATGTACCTGCCTGCCTACCTACTATGTACCTACCTCTTACCTGCGGCCCTGTTGATTGGGCATCGACTCATTTCAGCAGAGGTCAATCATCATTGCTGTGCGAATCTGTGCTTGATAGTTGAGGTGCGCAACTGTCTCTTGTTGTTGATACTCTACGCGCGTCGAACCGCCGTGTTGTTTCCTTTGGTTGCCATATTCAGTCTGGACGTCTCGAATGTGTTTTGAAATGCCGGGCTGCGGAGTCCAGTCATTGAGGGCAACCAAGGCAGCCAGCTGCGTACAAGCTGGGTGGGGAAACTCATCAATTGTACCACATCAGCCGAATCGCTGCAATTACATTCATTTACCTACCGCATACATTCAGGTAGACAAAGTGGACATGTTTCCGGCAGCCCGGTGCATCGTCTTTCCAGACTGACTTCCTCAACGTGCATACATGGTGGCGACACGGTGTAGAGTGGGTACATTAAGGTAGATAATGTACTCGGTAATATGCGTGCTGCTTGAACTTTGCTCTGCTTGTTGCTGCTGCTTTTGCTGCTGCTGCTGCTTCCTGGTGTGAATGATCCCCATGTCGCATAGTGATAACCTCGTCAACGCGTAATGCACAAAGCAGCATTCCATTGATACCCATCATCGGCCAGCTTTCGGCTTGTCGGACGAGTCGCATTACGTTGTGCCATTTCCATTTGTGTGCATTATAACCATTTCCCCCGATGCGTCCCAGCCCTCGTGGGGTACTTTCTAACAATAAACAGAGTATACACACATGTCTTGGACAACTATACAACAAGGCAGAAAGTAAAGTGCCACAATCAACAGGCTCTATACACTTCGGATCGATCGGCACATCTACACTGCCATCTGCTAAGTCACAAGTCCTGTTCTTTGCAATTAAGCTTAATGCAGTCATCGCGGGAGGCGTTTGTGGCAGTCCACTTACACTGACAGAAGCGCGACCTGCCCAGCAGGGTAAAGACAGCTGATTAGTCGAACGGCCATGATGGCTGTCCTGTAGGGGGAGCGAGGGGAAATGCAACTGCAACCCGGGAAAACACGGGTCAAGAGACATGTGCGAACAAAACCTGCGTTGTAGGGGGGGAAAACAGCAGACAGTAGACCTATCGTATGGCTGTATTGTGCTATCTAGAGTATGATGGAGACGGAAAGAATAGGATCGTGGTAATTCAAGTGGATAGGAAACAAGAGGAGATTGATGCATCTCGTCTTTCTTTTTATTCATCAGCAAAAGCAAACAAGCAAGTTGGCAAGCAGCAGGCCTGTGTCCACCTGCAGTCTGCCCGCCCTGCAGCCTCCAGTATCACCACTGCTACTGCTCCGTTTGATCCTCGAGACGGGAACGATTGCAGCATGCAGGGTAGTAGGTACGCATGTTCACCCAAGTTGGGATACTGGCGCCGGCCCAATCCCAACGGGGCAATATATGTAACCAAGGTCTACTATGTGTGCCTGTATTATGTATTGGCGGATTTGCGGATTCGCGGGAGCAATAGCACATTGAGGGAAGTCGGGGACGTTTATGGTGTGTAGGTCTATGTATGTCTTTGGAGAGAGTCCCTCGCCGAACGAAGCCCGAGAGGAGGAGAGCAGAGGAGAGGTTGCCAGGGTAGCACAGCTGAAAATAAAGGACAACGTAAGGGGAGGGACAATGCGACGCTACAATAACTCCATACTTGTAGTGGACGCATACTCAAAAGATGGACCATGTTGCTCGTGTGAGCCGTGTTTCTTGCCCGTGTCTGGACTAACCTGTGCGCAATAGACTTTGGATCCAGGCTACTATCGAAATGACAGCAGTGAAACGAGAAGCATTCGGACGAATTCGCAACGTCATTCTTTAGTGCCGCTACTGGCTGTCGCGAAGTGAAACTTTCTCAGCTCGAGATCTGAGAGCCCCCCCTTCAAAAATAAACCGTGCGCTTCGAGAAGGACAATGATAGCATTGAACCGGGGGTGAAGAAACTTGCCGACGCAACACACCGGCGCTGGCCTGGGCGCCACGCACCTACGGTAGATAGCTATTCTGCCAGAGAGGAAAAAAAGGTTGGCTCGATGCTTTCTGGATCTCGGAATCGATCACTCATCGGAGCCGGGGAGGTACGAAGACACCGGCTGGTGGATTGCAATGGATGCATGTACACTACGTATATATTTGCAACCCTTGTCGACAAACCTCGCATCTTCCCACGGGGATCCTAAATGCAGGAAGGTCAAGATAATGCTGGTAATTGAGCAAGAAGATCACTTTTGTTGTGGAGATGTGAATGTGGGAGAGGGGGAGGGTGGAGGGGGGGCCTTGAGGGCCAGGCAGTCGGCCGAGCTTCCACTTCTCTTTTCTCTCCAGTTTCTGCACGCGGTCCAGCCTCTTCAGCGGCTCTCCATTGAGGGGGAAAACATTATCTTTAATGGGGCAATCATCCAGGCGCTGTGCGGAGAGATCATGGCCGTCGGACACACAGGCGTACCTCCTGTAGAGTGCAGTTGTAGTAAAGGTCCATGCAGGCGATAGGTGGAGAATAAAGAATGAGCACTGTGTGAAAGGGATGCATACACTGATGGTGGATGGAAGGGGGATGGTCGCACAATCCTCCATACTACCTCTGATTATCAAAAAGATCAAGATTTCTGTCAAATATGTCTTGTTTTTTCTCTTCTCCATACACAGTAGTGCTTGTCTGTTCCAAAAACCCCGCACTCATTGCTTTGCCCGTCCTGACAAGCAGAAGAAGCATGGTGACCGTTGAACCCGGGAAAAGTCACTCGATGCCAAGAGTATGCTTATCTTGCACTGCCGCCCATCTTGGCCTCTGCCCGCCCCTTGGCAAAGCTTGTTGCTCGTGATTTGGCACTTGGCAGTCTAACAACTCATTTCTTTCTCGATCTCTCGCTGTCCAAACCCGACTTTAGCCACGAGACTAATTTCAGGCACGATTCCAAGAACCAGTCTTGTGCAATAATAGCACGGAAACCGGCCACAATAGCATCAACATCGACTCGAGCATTCTTTTGTAATTTTTATATTATAAGTATCATCACACCAGTATGATTGGTGCTGTGTAACGTGCCAAAAATGTCTGTGACACGAAGCGCGCGTGTATCTGCGCCAAAAACAAAAATGGGGTCAAGGTCCCTGAGACTAGATCCAATCAGCAGACACGTTTCTCAAGGTCAACAACCCACACAAAAGTCATGGAACTATACCAAATGTTCCGAAAACTGTACCGATCAAAATGTTTGATTTATGATGTTCCAAAATGTGAAACGATTTGGCTGTTACTCTGCCGGAAATCCTTGAAATGAGAGCCAAGCTTCTTCGTTATTAGGCAGCTTTCTTGCATGCTTACTTACAGAGCCAAGATATGGAGGCGTGCCACATGATCTGATGACAGCTCGATCTCTGGTAACCAGATGCCGCTACCCGATGTCACCCAGGATAATCGAACTGTCACCGTGCTACTTGACTGAGATCTGGGAAGAAAATTCCAGTTGCACAATCTTGGCTTCGACTATTCTTGCCAAGTTCCATGATGCGTATTGAAAATCCCAAGTACAAACGCGTAAGTTGGAATTTGACCGAGGAAAGCGTCATGCAACTTCATAACCTGCATCATGTGTCGAGATTCCACAGGAACTTTCAGTGGTGGCGATCATGTTTCTTGATAGTACGGAAAGCATGCAAGGTGAGTGGTAGTCTGGATGGAGACCACTATAGCTATATGCTGAGAATTAAAACATTTTCACTGGTTCAAAGTTATAATGGTGATTCTAGCAATTTAGTTTCGGCTCATATTATACCCAACAGCCTTTTTGCTCTGGAATTTCTCTGGTCCTTTTCAGGGAAAAAAAAAAAGATTTATAGATGTTATAACTGAGAATATACAGTCCATGTTGGTCCCTTGAGAATGCGTGTATACTGCTTGAACATCAACTTTGGAATCTCAGAACATCACACACAATAATGATGCGGATTCTCAGTACAACTTGCTTTTCAACAACCGGTGTTGAGTGAGCTTCAACCTGGGGATTACGTATTAAATAGGCAGTGACATAAAAATCAAGGTCAACTTTTATATATGAACCCGTGTTCTCATAACTATTCATGGATTTGAATACCGCATCTATCAACCGCGGGTAATAATAGTTTGAAGAGGTATATAGGCGGTACATAATCATGGACGAGAGATACTACAGGTATGAGAAAAGAAAGAAGGCCGCTACTCGATACGTGCCATGACAGATAGCTTCTGTGTTCAGCCTTTTGGAGAAAACACTACATTTGACGCTGCTTGTATCTATCTGGAGGCCCGATCACCTATTTGCCTACGAACCATCTTGCAATATTATCGTCTTGTCGCTTTGACATATTATCAACTCTCTTTAGAAACTCTGCGCTTCGAGTAACATGAAGACAACTGTATACCTACAAAGGTAGATCTACGGTCATGGCAAATCTCAGAAGACCCATACCATTTGAGGGATGATGTTGAATCAAGTCCAAAGACTTCCGATGGTTCTGGTCATAGCATACCCGGTTATAATTCACTGCTGAACAAATCCAGTGAAAGCCATGAGATTCTCAATGACCTTGGCGGTTGTGGCACTGATACCCAAACCCTCGAGCATGAAAAACGGCATGTGAAAGTGGCTGATTGAGATTTTTAAGAATAATGAACAGACACGTGAGCTGCGTAAAAGAGGCCATTTTCCACTTTTCTTTTTGTCATGACCATACTTGGGAGGAGGAAAAAAAAACATAGAATTCATGTTCAAGTTTTCATAATGATTCAAGAGAATATGCCTATGAATGTAGTTGGGAGAAGGGATTCAAGAGTAGGTACCTTGTACATGACTCCTAGGTTCGCTTAATATGATTCGCGGGGAAGGAATAAGAGGCGGCGAGACGCCATCGCAAAATACAACCAACCCCCCGTCGCGCCGCCGCCCCTTGCCCAAGGGGAATGATGCCCCACATTGCAAGCAAGCCAGCCCACTGTAACTCCAGCCTCGCCTCCAACAAAGTTTCCCGCAACCATCAGCCTTGTTACCTTTTTGTCCTCTTGTACCAATCTTTACTTGTCCGACCAGATATCTCAGTCTTCTCGGTAGCCAATTGACGGATTATCTTGCGACATTTGATTCGTAATATTCTTGGATTTTCTCGGGGGGTTGAACCCGTCCGAGCTTCCCAGCGGGATCAACCGGTTCGAACTACTCTGAACGCACCCGACCAGAGAAAGCAACATCAGCTCGAGACAGGCAAGCGAGAACCCACGCCACCTGCTGCGACCAAGCTTCAGAGGTCTCTTGTCGCGTGTCGAGTTGTCCTCTCGCGCACGAAGATTTCTGGGCCGCCGGGTACGAGCAAAGAGGTTTCCAGACCTGGACATCAGCCCATCATGTCGCCGCCTCCGACAAAAGCCAAGCTCCCTGCCGCCGCAGACCAGTACACCTCGGCCACACTCGACTCGGAAGCACGCAATGAAATCTATAAGATTTTGATTCACGAAGGCTATATCGAAAAGTAAGGCCTTCCCTTCTTCTTCCCAGCCCATCTTCCATGATTCGTACCAGAGTCTTGCGCACAAAGAACTGACCATGGGCGCCCCCCCTTTCACCAACAACAGGATTCAGGAGAGGTTACTACACAGACTCCACTCAGATCCATCGAATTGGCCGACAGCCCTCGAGCAGCGCGGTGTCGAGCTCCTGCGCAGCGGCGAGGCCACAACATTTCCCATCCTGATTCGGAAAGTGCTCGATGAGGTTCGGCACGACACCCAGGCAAAGGGCAGCAAGGACCTGTCTTCGTCCAAGAACAATGGCGAGGTAAATGGCAGCGGCGCGACAAACGGCAAAGCCAAGACGGCCAATGGCGCCGGCGGTGCGGCCGACAGCAACAGCTTGGCCCTGCCGGCAGATGTGGTCCAGGATCTGGTCAAGTACACCAAGGAACTCCTCAAGGACGTCATGGAAACCGACGATAGCGACGACGGAACATAGGAAGAATCTGCCTCGAAATCTTGCCCGGAAGCGCTAAGAAAGAGACATTCGACGGCATGGGAACTTTTGGCGGAAAAGGACTTGATCTGACCGACCTGACTACGACGTATGAGACCACGAGAAGAAATGACAAAAATATGAGGAAGCTGTGGGTGAAGGAGGTGGGAACTCGGCCACTTTCTCAGGAAAGATATGGCACAACAGATATGTTCGCGACAACGCTGCTGGGAACTGCTGCAAGGTTTTGTCATTGGAGCAACACGGCAACCAAACCTGTTTCGCCACGTATCTTGGAATAGTCAACATAGCGGCTTGGGCATCCATTGGCATTCGATCCACTCTAACAGAGAGCATCATACATGTTTAGGTTCTTGGCCGTGTACATTCCCCAGTTGTGTCGTCATGTCTGGACACATCACGCTCGCGGCTTACCCGCCGAGTGAAAATTGCATTCCGACAGAAAATCTCCCCGATATACTTTCATCCTCGGTTGAAACCCTGTACATAGCAAGCATACAGAAAGTAGGGGCCAAGTGCGCATGGAGGCGTTATTGCAGTAAAGAAATCCCCTGAACGGTTAACAGAGGCCAGATTTCTGAAGAAAAGGACCCTCTGACCATAATATTCCGTAATAGAACTCGCATCAAACTCTTCGGTTTCGTACATGCATCATTTACACGTGTGCCGACGTTGTGTTACTCACCGCAGCATGACACAGTTATCATGGGATCAATTGACACTTGAAAATTTAGAAGACACTTTCTTATCAGGTCTATCATCAAACTATTCTCATGAACCGAAACGTGAACCCAATGCAAACCGACCTCTTCTTGACTGTCCATAACATGCCGAAAGGGCGTTCAGTTGCAGGCGGGAAAAGCAAAGACGGCCCACTCCGCATGCTCGCCCGTTATTGGCATATCTCATTACCACGTGTCCTTGCCTCTACGATATCTTCATGCCCCGTTCTACCAGATTACCAGAATTTGCTTTGGTCGGAAAAATTAGAGTACAAGATGGGCTGAAGTGAGTGGTCAATTGACAATCTAGTCGTAGAGACCGTCGTCCTCTCCGGCGTTGCCGAAGTTGTTGCTGCCCGAGGCAGCATCGCCCTCGCCACCGCTCGAAGGGAACTTGAAGAAGGCGCCGGGGCCGGCATTCTTCATTTGCTGAGCGAAAGCCTCGTAACGGCGGATCTCAACATCACCGACCGACTTGCGGGCCATTTGCATAGCCTCCTCGAAGTGGCGCTTGGTCAGCTCAGGGACGGGATCCTCGACATCCTCATCGACGTCCATGTCATCACCGGCAGCCTCGCGCTCCTTGGTACGCGTGATGTCCAGAGCGATAGACTCCTTAATGGCAATCTTGGCGGCGCGCTGGGTGATGAAGCCCAAATCGGCACCAGAGAAACCGTGCGTCTTGGATGCAATGAATCTGAGGTCGACATCGCTAGCAACAGGAGTCTTGCGGAGCTGTGCGCTAAGGATACCAAGGCGACCTTCCTCGTCGGGAAGAGGAACGTAGATCAAGGAATCGAGACGGCCAGGTCTGCAAAGAGCAGGGTCGAGCTGCTCAGGTCTGTTGGTTGCTCCAATGACGAACACGTTCTTCTTCGACGTCATACCGTCCATTTCTACAAGAATGATTAGTTGAATAACTCGACAACATTTCATGGGGGAAAGGCTTACCGGTCAAAAGCTGGTTAACAACACGGTCAGATGCACCACCAGCATCACCAACGGAACCGCCACGAGCCTTGGCGATGGAATCCAGCTCGTCCAAGAAGACAATGCAAGGAGCTGCGGCACGGGCCTTGTCGAAGATATCTCGGATGTTGCTTTCCGACTCACCGAACCACATGCTGAGCAGCTCAGGACCCTTGACGGAGATGAAGTTGGCAGCGCACTCGTTTGCGACAGCCTTAGCCAACATCGTCTTACCGGTACCAGGAGGACCGTAGAACAGAACACCTCGCGACGGCGAAAGACCAAACTTGAGGAACTTCTCGGGGTGGTCGACGGGGTACTGAACTTGCTCCCGAAGCTCCTGTTTGACCTGGTCGAGACCACCAATGTCCTCCCAGCGAACGTTGGGAACCTCGACAACGGCAACCTCGCGCAGAGCCGAGGGGTTGGAGGTGCCAAGAGCGAAACGGAAGTTCTCCATGGTGACACCAAGAGAGTCAAGGACCTCGGCGTCAATGGTGTCCTCATCAAGATCGATGAGATCCATCTTCTCTCTGATCTGTTGCATGGCAGCCTCGGAGCAAAGAGCAGCAACATCGGAACCGACGTAACCGTGGGTCTCGGCAGCAATCTGCTCCAGGTCAACATCATCACCAAGCTTCATGTTCTTGGTGTGAATCTGGAGGATCTCGAGACGGCCGGTCGGGTCAGGAACACCAATGTCGACCTCACGGTCAAAGCGACCGAAACGACGAAGAGCGGGATCGATAGAGTTGGGACGGTTGGTGGCAGCCATGACGACAACATTGGATCGAGCCTTCATGCCATCCATCAATGTAAGCAGCTGCGAGACGACACGGCGCTCGACTTCACCGTTGGTCTTGTCACGCTTGGGGGCGATCGAATCAATCTCATCAATGAAGATGATGGCGGGGGAGTTCTTCTCAGCCTCCTCGAAAGCCTTGCGCAAGTTGGACTCGGATTCACCGGCCATCTTGGACATGATCTCGGGACCGTTGATCAAGAAGAAGAAAGCGCCAGTCTCGTTGGCGACAGCGCGGGCCATGAGCGTCTTACCGGTACCAGGAGGACCATAGAGCAAGACACCACGCGGGGGCTTGATACCAATAGACTTGAAGAGTTGAGGGTGGCGCAGAGGAAGCTCAACCATCTCGCGGATCTGAGCCATCTGCTTGCGGCAACCACCAATATCGTCGTAGCCAACCTCGTTGAGGTTGTTCTCCTCATCCTCACGCTGGATAGGCTCTTCTTCGCAGTGAATGACTGTGTCCTGTGCAACGATACCGTACTCCGGGGGATCTACCTCGACGACCTTGAACTCGACTTGTCTCATGCCACCACGAACGATGAACAGATCGCCCTGTCGGACAGGTCGGTATGCTTCTCTAAAGTAGGGTGCGAGGAACACATCGAACAGCGAACCGGTGATACCCTCAACTGTGTCGGCAATGGGCAGGACAGCAATTCTCTTGGCCTATTTCAAAAGTCAGTACATCATGCGGAAAGAGCGCTTCCAACGATTCTAAGGAAACGGTTTCTGAAAGTAACTTACGTATTTGATGTCGGGGCACGGGTGGATGGTAATAACATCACCGTGCTTGACTCGCAGATTGTGGCGGACAACTCGGTTGATGCGAGCGCTGCCGTCATCAAGGTCGTCATCAGCCAAGACAATCAGAACTGTGTCCTTCCTCTTCTTTCCGCGAACGAGGACTGTGTCACCACGGAACAGCTGCAGCTGCTCCATGGTGTTGTTGGACAGAGCAATGATCGAGTTATCATCGTTGGTGGCATCGGTCACCCTGGCAAACAAGCAAGTGTCAGCGGCGCATTCGCAGCAATCAATCAGAAAGCAAGACACGGGGGATACTCACATGAGCTGGTTGGGCTTCTTCTTCTTCTTGAGAATGGCGGTCGAGGTGTCGTTCTCCTGTGCAGCTGTGTCAGATTCCAAGAAAGACTACTAGATGGCGGTGACTATGTTGTAAACCTACCTCCTTGACCTCGGCGCCGGAGACGTCGCTGTGAAATGGTTAACATGGACTCGGCAAGGGCGCCAACTTCTTCGAATGGGGATGGAATACTTACGCCAAGTTGGCCTTCTTCTTGTCCTCGGGTGCCATCGCGATTGGTTACTTGTCGAGTGTTTGTGGTTGTGTTTGACGGTGTAGATGGATGGGTGTTTGTCGGGGAGGGAAGGTACTGAATATGGGTGTATGTAGATGCAACGAGGCTTTGAAAGTCTAGCGTTGCGGGTATTATCTACGACCTGGGAAAAAAGGAAGGTCTGGGATGTTTAGAGCCTTCTCCGATCCAGCAGAAAATCACAGAAAAAAAGATTTTTGGATTGTTGATGGATGGAAAGGTGGTTTGGGGATTGGGGAAGTTGAGAAGAGATGATGTTAGATGGCAGGTCCACGAGTGGTGGTAGTGCCTTGGGGAGAGCTACGTTAGGCAATCCACAGATGATGCAGTGAATCACTGACTTTAGTAGCAGCTGCCCCAGTCGGGAAGCTTAGGCCAGCCGTAGGCAAACGGGGTGTGCTGGGCCCGGCGGCGGGCTAAGGCAAGAGAATCAGAGGCGGGCCCCACTCTCCAGCAGCTGTGGACAAGTGGTCTTTGGTGGCGAGTCGAAGCTTCTAAGTGCTTCTACCAGTTGGAGGATGGGGACCCCGAGGCTGCTGACTGATAAGGCAAAAACAACACCTACGCCGCCTTGTCTGTCTGTCTGACCTCCAAGGTTGTTTCGGGCTGAGGATCTGTCAGGTCTGTGCTGGCAAGGCCGGTGCCAGGCAGTCGAGTGGTACGCAAGTGGTCTTGATTCGTCGTCGGCTTTAAGCTTTATTGCCCCCTTCCGATTAGTCAAGTTTGAAGAATTGAGCTGAAGAAGAAAGATCACAAACAGGTGAACTGACATTTGTTGAAAACAAGCAAGAGCTTCTTTTCCCCTCTCCCCAATTTTCACTTCACAACACAAGAATTAAGAGACTTATCAATGCATTACCAGTGACAATCGTGCTTCTATGGAAGACAGCTTGCACATCTTGCTCTGACTGCAACTGCTCAAGATCCATTTGTCCGGCAAACGCCGAATCATCTACCAGACATGTTTTAACGAGGCTTCTATGCATGACTCGCATTTCCTGTTTACATGACTTACAGCTACTCCATAGAAATACTACGACTTGAATGACCCGACTTTTGCCTCCAGCAGTCCATAGAACAACAAAGAACAGCAAACGAATTCCCGACACCAACTTGCGCGTTATTAGACATACGTGAGTGGAGTTGTCACACATTCCGTACACTCTTCAAGAAAGCGGCGCATAGTCTTCACGATGGTATTTGGAATATGGTCCCCAATACGTCAATACGTTAAGGACCGGTGAATTGAATGGCACCGCTACCACGGTTTCTTGACCACCCTGATTATGTTACCAGATCAACTCCATGGGATTTTGGTACAGTTTCATGATTGTATTGTCAGCCCAGAATTGTATCTCATGTAGTCAATGGCTAGTCTCTTAGTGATTATTTTCCCACATCAATAGAGTGTGCCGTGCTTGGATTCAGGCGATAATCCGTTCGGACTTTTGCTATCGTTTCCATCTACTTGCCACAGCCCTAGGGATTCCCTCATCGTGCATCATCTACACAGAGCTCACTTCAGTCTGGTGCTAGAAGTGAGGCAAGAAGAGACTGAGCAGAAGTTCTACGGGCAGAAGCGCATCTTCACAAAAACCCAAGAATTTGTTTTGCATAGGTTGTTGTTGTTGTTGCCGTTATTGTTGCCGCCGCCGCTGCCGCAATGAATTTATGATGTCTATCTTGCATGATTGCTTCTTTATGCATTCTTATACCAGGATTACCTACATTGACTTTGATCCTTCATTTCAGTTCGCAGCATAGAGGTTTGCGACCTTTCCTGGATCAACCTGAGAACCACAATGCCTAGGAAGCCAAGCTATGATGAGGCCGGTTGTGTTTCGAGCAAGAATGTCGACACTTGTGAAATCTTAGAACCATAAAGTCTCAAACGGTCATTTGTAATAGTTTTATGGGGGAATCAATTATGCACTCGAAGTGACCCGTCTGAACATCCGAAGACATTAGATCTATCATGCCAATCATCACTGCCAACAGGCAGGAGCCTATCCATAGACACATTCCACATTATACAACTCGTTCAACCTGAGCTGTCCAAAAACAGGGACTCGCAAGTTTATCGAGATGCCAAGCGTTCAAACACAGCACCCGTCAGTGAGGTGCAGACCTCTTGACAGACATTCTGCAGGATTTTCAACCAGGGACAGAAGAAGGATAACATCCTAGAACCCTCTCCTAGTGAGCCATGATATGCGAGCTCGGACCACCAGCAGGCTTGTCATCAACCTCCATGGCGTCATCACCATCCTCGGCGGCTTCACCCTCGCCCTCTTCCTCCTCAAGCTCATCCTCACTCTCGTTCTCAAGATCAACGCTGCCGTCCTCGGACATCTCATCCTCCTCAGCGGGCTCGGCAGCCTCCTCAGTGCCGCCCATCTCGGCGTCACCGCCAGCGGCGGCAGATGACTCGCCGTTGGTGCCAGTGTGGACAGCACCATCCTCAGCCTCCTCTTCGGCCAGCTCCTCAGCTCCATATTCCTCCTCATCGACCTGGTTGTCGGCTTCAGGCTGGTCGGGGGGGAACTCAGCAGGGGCCGAGGCCTCTGAGTCCCACTTGATGGCGAAGCGGGTGACTCTGGGCTTGTCTGCCAGGACGTTGCGACGAATCTTCTCGATGATGGGCTTGGCAGGGGGGTCACTGTTCAGCTCCTCGGTCTCATACTCGTTGTTGACATAGTAGCCAACGCGGATGAATTCGCGGCCATCGTAGGCACAGGTAAGGAGGACGACAGTAACACCAAGAACGTCTGCGTCGGGGATGCGCTTTGTGTCGGGAGCGTCTGCCTCGAAGACAAACTTGTTGACTCCGACAGGGATCGGTCCAACTAGGAGGGAGTCGAGTTCCTGATCATACTGGTCCGAGGTGGCAGATCCAACGTAGGTGAGCTTCCACTCGAGATCTAGAGGGGTTGGAGGATTAGTGTGTGTTTGCGCAAATTGGCGGGGTGATTGTCAACAACGTACCCTTCTCCAGAGGCTCAAGACACTCAAAGGTGATCTCAAGATCGTACTTGTCGGTGAACTTGGCGGGATTGTTGAGGATGTTGACCCCAAGAAGAGAAACGACCGACATCTTGAATATGTGCGGTGTAGTTGAACTGGAATTGAAATGCGAGGGGTATCAACGTTGCAGGAAAGGAAGAGAAGAAGGGAAAAAAAAATCTATACAATCGCAAATTGCTGCTTGGTTGTATCGCAGTGCAGTGCGGTGCAGTGCAGTGCAAATCAAAGCCTAGGCAAAGGACAAGACACGAGTGCCACAAAAAATTGAGGATTCCGATAAAAGATGAAGCTCAACCGATGCGATCAATGTTGACTGGCTTTCTATTTGTTTTTGCGCTGGTCTCGTTATTGACAGTGACCTGGCAGCGGGTCTTGTTATTAGTCGTTTGCCCAGACCACACGGGCGGGTGGGTAGAACGCGCGCAGTGTGAAGCGCGACTCGCGTTGAGTGCTTGCAGGCCAGGCGCGCTGCCCCGCTGATGCGTGTCAGAGCGGAGTCTGCCAACAAGCTCGAGGCCGACCTGGCAATGAGCCACACGAGATGCAAGTGTACGTACTGGTTCAATGTGGCTGGTGGCAGAATGCATAGGTACTTTGTACCTACGTACCTAAGGGACCTCGATATCTGGTCAATCACTTAACACACCTTTGTCGATGAATGTCGCGTACCCTCTGATTAATCAAATGTTCATTTACTCCAAGAAGTCAGAATGGCGTAGTTCCTAGTCTTATGATTTGGTTTGAATATTTCAACCATTTGCGGAAGGTAATACTGATTTGACGGTCTTGATTTTCATCATCAATGAGGCTCTGGAAGTTCCCGAGACACTGATCCATTGGCGCAAGCTTGAAGCACTTGAGCTGTGGATCCCGAGCCACAACCACTGACCCTTGTCTCCATTTTCTGCAAACACCTAAGAGGCTGAGACCAGGCGCATTCCTTGCCAACCCAAGCTGCAAAGCTTGAGCTCTCTCAGCCCTCTCATCTCCACGTCGCTTGCCGACTCTGCCCATCCTTGATGTCTTTGCATCAATTTCTCGATTCTCACTTGTAGTTCTTGTCGCATCTGGTGCCCCAAAGTCGGCATCTGATCGAGACCATTGCGTGTTGCTCCAGCACCCTCCTTTGTATTCGACCGATTTTCATTATCGCGACCGACGTGCACGACGACGCAACGACGACCTCTTGCGACCACTGGCACCTGCCAGTCGAGCTTCAAAGCGTGAAGCATCGCAGACCTCGGACACAGCTACCTCCAGCTCTGAGGAATATCGCTGTCCGCGGCGCGACCTTGCTGTCCACACAGACTTGCCGACCATGGCATCCGACGGCTTCACTGACGCGAATGCTTGGGGGGAGGATGGTGGAAATGGAGCTGCGGAGAATCTTGAGCAGTATAGCCATGAACAACAAACACAAGAACCTAGTACTTCTGCTGTTTCCCAATTTGCTCCTGGTGAATCTCCTGAAGACGATGCCGATTCGGGTGAATATGACCCAGAATCCGTTATCATAAGCACTACAGCTACACCAGTTTCTGCTTCCGCAGCCGTTCCTCCGCCGACTGTTTCCACATCCTCGCCGCGTCCAGCTAAGAAGCCGAAGAAGGCTGGTGGATTCATAGTTGGATCCTCGGATGATGAGGATGATACCCCCGCTCCTCCTCAGCTGTCAGTCACGCTGCAGCCGCAGGCTGTAAATGATGCCACTGATGCTCCCGCGCAATCCTTTACGCACCCGCCCCAGCAACAGACCATTGCACCCCATGAGGCTGAGCCTCCGACTCAAGTGAGTAACGGACAGGCAAGTAAACAACAGATGCCTGCAGACATTATCAGCATCTTGGAGGAACGCGTCAAGAAGGACCCCCGAGGCGACATGGACGCCTGGTTGGCACTGATTCAAGAGACACGAAGGCAAAACGTAGTGCAGAACTCTCGATCAGTTTATGAAAGATTCTTGCAGACATTCCCGCAATCGGTAAGAACGTCCGAGTCTATTCGCTCTCGGCTTCAACACTAACCCGTTTGTCGCAGGCTGAGATTTGGGTTCAGTACCTGGAGATGGAGCTGAGTCTTGACAATTTCGCCGAGGCAGAGAACATCTTTCAACGCACGCTTACCACCATTGTCGATGTGCAGCTTTGGACAGCATATCTCGACTACGTGCGCCGCCGCAATGACCTCAATGACACCACTGGAGTAGCGCGCCAGACTGTGAATGCAGCTTACGACTTTGTCCTCGACAATGTTGGCCAAGATCGCGAGTCTGGTAAAATCTGGCAGGACTATATTCAGTTCCTTAAAATTGGACCTGGCCAGGTCGGCGAAGGTGGCTGGCAAGATAAGCAAAAGGTTGATGGGCTGAGAAAGGCCTACCAGCGCGCTATTTGCATTCCAATTTCCAACTTGAACGTGCTGTGGAAGGAATACGACCAGTTCGAGCTAGGAATCAACAAAGTCGCGGTATGTACATGGGGATCCTCGACTCGGTAACTTGAAAATACTAACACTATTGTAGGGCCGTAAATTTCTTCAAGAGAGGTCGCCATCATACATGTCAGCACGTAGCGCAAACACTCAGCTGGATACCATTACACGAGGATTGCGCCGATCCACCATTCCGCGTCTGCCACCCGCTCCTGGCTTCGAAGGCGACATCGAGTTTGGCGAACAGGTCGAAATCTGGAAGAAGTGGCTCTCATGGGAGAAAAGTGACCCGCTGGTGCTGAGAGACGATGAGCCCGAGGTGTTCAAGTCTCGCATTATATATGTCTACAAGCAAGCTTTGATGGCCCTCCGCTTCTGGCCAGAGCTGTGGGTTGAAGCAGCAGAGTGGTGTTTTGAACACAAGATCCAGACAAAGGATGGCAAAGACCAAGGCCTCCAGTTTCTCACCGAGGGAGTCGCTGCGAACCCCGAAAGCTCACTTTTGGCCCTCAAACATGCTGACCACATTGAGTCAACCCACCCAGCTGGAGAGGGCGATGCTGGGAAGCTCGCTTTAAGCCAAGCTGTGCGTGCCCCTTTCGAGCAAGCACTTGGTACTCTGTATCCAATGGTAAAGGACTTGAAGGAGAGAGAGGCGGCGGCTGTCAAGGCTATCGAGAATGATTCGAGTCTCGGACCGAATGATGCTGACGATGATGATGAGGGTGAGGTGTCGTCGGTCAAGTCTTTCAAGGAAGACATCAGGAAGGATAGGATCAAGGCAGTCAAGGATGGATTTGCTGTTCAAATTCAGATGCTGAGACAACAAATTTCCTATCTTTGGATTGCACTGGCCCGCGCTTTCCGCCGCATTCAAGGCCAAGGCAAAGCGGTCTCTCGAGATGCACCCACTACTGGTGTCCGGCAAATCTTTACCGAGGCCCGTCAACGGGGCCAGCTCACGAGCGACGTCTATGTGGCAATTGCACACATCGAGTGGGACATCTATCAAGACCCGGTAGCTACCAAGATCTTTGAACGTGGCGCGAAACTGTTCCCCGAGGATGAGAACTTTATTGTTGCTTACTTGAAGCATCTGCACTCTCGCCACGACACTACCAGTAAGTCAGCAAGAGCGTATGATCTGTTTCGATTTATTTCGTAACTAACATTGGAGTAGATGCTCGTGTTGTCTTTTCCCAGACTGTCAAAAAGTTCAAAGAAAAGCCCGAGCTCAGCCGCAAGCTCAAGCCTCTCTATGCCTATTTCCACAGTTACGAAGCCAAGTTTGGCGAGTTGGCTCAAATCAAAGATTTAGAGAGACAGATGGCGGAGTCTTTTCCTGAAGATCCCAGTCTGACCCATTTTGCTGCACGCTTTTCCTCCGAGGGCTTCAATCCAATTGCTGCACGAGTGATTATCTCGCCTTCGGCCCAGATGCGGCCCAAGCACATCATGCAATCTGTAGAGCATGTGCCAGCCTCGATACGTGGAAGCCCACACCCTTCTGCTCTTGCAGACCGAAGCCCAAGACCGCAATTCCTGCAAACAGTCAACTCACCCAAACGCCCTTTCCAGGCTGACGATAATGATGACCTGAACCCTCCGCGAAAGGTCGCTCGAGGGGTCTCGCCCTTGAAGGGCGCGGCAGGACGGCGACTGGATCAGCAGCGTAGAGCAGCTCAAGGCCAGGGAGTTCCCGCTCATAGCAATCCTGTCTCTATCTCTCGTGACATTACTTTCCTCCTCGGACTTATCCCTCCCACGCATCAGTATGCGGCTCCACGTTACAGGCCCGATGGTATTGTGCGGATCCTTAGAGAGACAGGCGTTCCCGATTTCAACGATTGGAAAGCCACAAACCAGGGTGCCAGGCATAATCGCCAGGTATCAACGGAATTCCCGCCGTACGCAATGCCGGCAGGTGGTCGGAACAGCCCATTTCTTAGAGGAGGAGGAGCAGGCCCCCCTCCTCAAGGTGAACTGACTCCTGCTTTTGATACCAGCGCAGCTATGCTTGGTGGCCAGGGCGCGAACCCGCCAAACTTCTTCCCCGGCGGGTTTCCATACAACATGGGACAGCAGCCGGGTGTGCCTCAGTATCCGCCATTCAGGCAAGGTTGATGGCCTGTATCAGTTTTCCCGCTGAACACGTAATGACGGCGTGTCTTTCAGACGCATCCCAATACCATATGCTTGTCCAAATTGGGTGAAGGACCCGACGGGGACCATGTGTCAACAAATCAGGACACATAGACTACGGACACAATCAGCACTCCATCAGGGAGTCCTTGATTAAAATTGTCAAGTCTTTGGCAATTGTTTTGGTGTATTGCCACCAGCCTGTACCCATTTAGCAGAATTGATGGACCGAGGCTGAATATGGCCACAGTATTACGGAATGATTTGGAAGAAGCAAAGCAAATAACGGAGGCCATGTTGTATGCCATGGAATGCTGATGACTGGCCTGACGCTGCACTGCGCGCGTGTACATATCCTGGCAACGTCAGTGATGATGAGCCTTGTATAGTTAATGAGAACTATCACGACCAGCTTGTTTGTAAATCGTTGTAATGTTTCTACATTTGTTTACTGTGTCTGATCAAGTGTCGTGCATGAACGAGGTATATGTATTTGTGACATAATAATGTAGAGCATCCACGGATAGGATGTCAACGTTGCGATATCCATTCATCCGGGGCAGGGAAATTTCCAAAAGTTCTTGAGTTTGCCTTGATGGGTGTCAAGAGCACCAGGTAGCTAAAGTCTTATGAATCCCTTACTTACCCATCTATGCTCTTCCCAAATCGAGTTTTCGCTCGAGTATCTACATGTCTATGAAATGTGAGCCCGAATTCCCATGGCCGCTAGCTCATCTGCAGACCTGGTGTATAACAACTGTGCAATAAGCAATTGTTCGCAATCATCTCACCTCCCGGCGCGATGATTGCAGTGCATACCGCTTGTCTGGTAAATCATACGGGTTCATCGAGACCGACTCTGAAGACCTCTGAGCAGGTGAGTCTGCAGCGGATGGGTTGCACGTCTTTATTTGAAATCACTTGGGCTGCTGAGCTCAAGAAACTGTTGGGTTTGGTAATTCGACTGAAGTACATCATGGTAGAGGTCCATGTAGAGCGAACAAGTGGTCTGAGTTTTGGTATGATAGTGGCAAGATATAAATCTTGTCTCGTTTGTGAGTTTCGCTTCGATACCACATCTCGAAGGACTTGCCAATTTTCGGTGGGGAAAATATGCTTCATGTCGATCTCGTCCCTATAATGAAACCCCACTGCATGATTGCGCAAAACTGATTGGTTGCTTAAGACAAGTAGTTTTCCTGATTGCAAACACTAGGTGACAAAGCTGACATTATAATGACACTTTGAATCATCCTGTTGGCACTCACGGATAAGTCTGAGTATTGCATTCACCGTCTTGCTGTCAATATAGTGATCAGCAGCGCTGTTGACTGGATACATTGTTATATTTAGTCACCAGCCAGGTGTGGTTTGTTAACAAGGTTAAGTAATGGTTATCAAAAGTAGTATAGCAACGACTGAGGTTGCGTAAATAAACCCCAAAGGTCTGGTGCTGCTTAGTTTGTCTTTCGGCTAGTTTAGTTGATGAAGTCCTTTTCCATTCGGCGTCTCTGATAGACAAGAACAACGGAAAGAAAGAAAAAGCCCGTATCACTTCTTACTGGTCCGCCTGTCCCAGCTGCAAACGAAGGGGTGAGTACATATAGACTGAGATGCCGCCGTGCATGCATCATTGCATCAATTAATGAGAAATCTGACTAGTGCCAGCGCTTCCTAGTTCAAAGAGATCCAAGAATCCACCTTCTTGCCCACATCCAGGCTGGAGTCTTCTTTCAACCAAACAAGCAGCACCCAATTCCAGATTTATAGGCACCAGTCCACACCTCCAACCAGCGAGATCCAATACATTTCACTGCAAGGTAAGCTATCATTTTCAGAAATCAAAATCTCTACATCCATCAAACTGTTTGCCTTGGTGATCTCTCTCCCCTTCCAACCTCAAAACAAACCCAGTCCCAGTTCCAAACACCACAAACCAACAACGCTTTTGACGCATCTCATCGCAAAGGTAAGCTGAGCTTCACTTGGTCACTCTGGAGCGCATCGATTTGGACAAGCACCTACACTCCCAGAGTTCAATTGATGACTCCAAGCCATCTTCCCATAGCATAAAAGCTACCAGCTCTCCCCAATACCTTCCACTTTTCCTGTATTCAAGTATCACCAAGTTACAGATCAGCATTAGCCAAGTGAGATCTGTCAGAAGATAGATTCTGGTTCTTGCCGCCCATCTGAAGCCTGGCCAACTTGAAACAACGCACCTGCCATTCAGGCAATCAATTCTCTTTCTCCTAATCCAAAGCAGAACAACAGCACCCTCATTTAATGTAGTTTCTCGACTTCTTCTACCTTCCTACCCATCACCCATCAACCAAAACACCCAAGAAACTAATCAGCTCTCCCCAATAGGTACGTCCAGTTTGACAAAAGAGCTCTGTTCAAGCCACTCTTCCCCATCAACGGTTCCTATTCCAATAAACCCTTGCTGCCATCTCAATCTCCCCCCTTCACACAAAGCCAAGATCATCCAACCCCAACAACCTCAGTGCCCATCTGGCTGCATCCATCAGCCGCGAGGTATTGACATAGCATAGGTACGTATTTCCATTTTATCTCTCTCTGTGTTTCAGCCCTTGAAGTCCTTCTCCCATCCTGTTTGCAGCAAACTTGAAACATTCTACACCAACTCCAAACACTTTCCCTCGCAAAATCACTTCTCACTCTAGAAACACACCACATAACTTCAACTTGTCCCAAGGTCAAGGCCACATCCTCTATCATCCAACATCTGCCCCTTCATATCCCCATCATCTTCATTACTCAAGGTCGGCGCTGTTTCCTCTTGACCAAACTTCGCCGATTCCCAATTGCACAACATTCCTACCTCTTGACGGCAAGTACCAAGTGATTTCCCCCATCTGCACGAGATCTTTGCGCTGGCCCAGAGACGTGAACCGTTTCCTTCCCTTCTTGACATCAACATCATTTCAAGGCAGCACAACCACAACCTGTCTACCTACAACAAACCTTTTACTTCTTTCCCAGAGTCATATTCTTGCCTTGCAGGAAAGACGAAATAGCATTTCATCAATTTCCCAAGTCTTTCACCACTTTTGCCTGGACCATCACTCACTAACTTGGAAACTGCACAGGAGCATCCAACTTCAAACACCCCAACCCTCCTGCCCACTTTGTCCAATTTGTTTTCCAACTCAACATCTTCAACTAAACAATCCCGCAGTTTCGTACTTGCATCTCGAATTGTTCCTTCCAACAACAATCACAATCCAGTAAGTCAAAACCACAGTTCCAGTCAACTGCGCTGGAAATCACCTTCTCAACTTCAACCACTTCCCAGCCCAACTTTCTTTTTCCCACTTTCACACTTCCCACACTCTTCACACTTCCTCCTTTCAACACCAATCTCTCGTTACAGCCATCCCGGCATCACTCTTCTCCCAGCTTCCCATCACTTCTTCTTCAGCAACTCTTCTTTCAATCAACACTCGTCTCGGGCATTGACTTGTTCTTCAGAGGTCATCACCACCTTTGTTTTTCCAGCAACCCCATTGCCCCTACTCGATACACGTTACCTGTGAGTAGACCCTGAAGAGCCGCTGCTCTTGCCCTTCCACGCAAATCAGACCAGATCATGAGCTCAGTCTCTAATTTGGGTTGATTCGTTTACCCTCTATCTCTGTCTACACTCAATCAAATCAAATTCATCATCTACCCCATCTACCATCGCAAGCTGCCCTGGTTTGACGCATCATCCCATTGAATGCCCAATTTCTCACCTTCACATCCACACCTTCTTTCAACATCTGCACAAGCAGACAGGAGTGCTTGCCCCGAGACTCGATATCCCACAGTTACTAACTTTACCTCTGACCAGCAGCATCCAAGAGACCCTTCAGCCTTGATTGTCAATTCCCACAGCTGGTAAGTTTTACAATTCATCCCACACAATCTCCCATCTAGTTGGCTCCAAGCCACATTCAAACCAGCGCCTTGAGACACATTGTTTTCTTCTTTCTCCATCTTTCAAATTTTTCCTGCATACCTTCCCAATCACAAAATTCTGCACTGGAAGCAAGAGCCTTTCCATTCTGGTATCATCCTTGGATCAGTAGCACGACATCACCCTCATCACTTCGATTCCAAGAATTCAAGGTGTTGGCGCTGCCAAATATCTTTTTCACCACCTACATCAACATAGTGACTGACACAAACTACTTGGCAGACAAACAACCACAATGGCTTCATCCGGCCAGCAGGGTTCAGCTCCGCGCCGTCCTGCTGTCGGACGTGTCGCCAGCATGGACTTGGACGGTGCTTCCGATCGCCAGCGCGGACCTGGCTCTTCCCAGGGTAGTGTCTCTGGTGCCCAGGCTGGCGGTTCTCAGCGCGGTAGTGCCCCTACTAGTCCTGCTCGCTCCCGAGCTGGTAGTGCCTCTACTTCGGATGCAGGCCCTGGACCTTTTCACAAAGGCTCTGGAGTCGACCCTGCATTCGATCCCAACGATCCCAGATCCTCTCGCGTGCAGATGAGCGACACTGAGCTCATTGGAAAGCGCGTTGACTTGCCTGCTGAGGCTTTCTCGGTGAGTGTCCAAAGCCCAGATGTATGCATTTGCCTTTATATTCTAACATCACACCTAGTCTTCCACCGTTGCCCACCCCTTCGTCAAGCGACCGGCTTTCAACACCAGTTCCAAGCCTATCTCGGTCCAGCTCAATCTCTTTTCTGTTACCAACCTTCCCGCTGGAGACATCTACCAGTACGATGTAAGTTGCCCAATGATATGCCTAAGCAGTGGTATCTTGCTCACTGTCTATACAGGTCGTTGTCAGCCCCAATCCCAAGGACAGCAAGGCCTTGGTGAAGAAGGTCTGGAACTCTCAGGCTGTTCAGCAATGGGTCAAGAGCACTGGCAGCAAGTGGCTCTACGATGGTCACAAGCTGGCCTGGTAAGTGATCTGACTATTCGAGAGAGAAAAAGTGTCATGGGTCACTAAACATGTACACAGGAGCACAAAGACCCTCTCTCGCGGCGAGCACCGCATCACTGTAGATCTGGACAAGGAGGCCGGCAAGCCTCCCGGTGGCAACAATACTGTCTACTATTTCCAGATCAAGGCCACAACGACTATTCGCATGCAGATGCTCACTGCATACCTTCAGCAGAAGGCTCAGTGGGACACGCATGTTCTTGAGTGCATGAGTTCGTCATCTCACATTCCAAGCTTTGGTGAGGTATACTGACTTTTGGCAATAGACTTTCTGGACCATGTCATGCGTCAATGGCCGAGTGAGCGCATGGAACTCATCAAGAGAAATTTTTATCCTCGTGATGGACAGGAATTTCGCCTGGACGACATGATTGTCGTCCGCAAGGGAACCTACTCGGCCTTCAGACTTGGCCAAGTGAGTATCCCCATTACGTTGACACTGCTTCCGATATCGCTGACCATGTGCTTTAGTCTGAGCTCGGAAGCCCCTCGGTTGGCTTGAGCCTGAATGTCGACGTTGCCAATACGGCCTTCTGGCTGGGTGGTCAGACTTTTGCCAAGCTAGCCCAGTATGTTTGCGCGCCTCCGGCTACTCGCCGCCTCGATTCTACAATGCCCATGGGCAAGCTAGCCGACCTGCTTCGCCCGAAGAAGGTCCAAGACAAACTTGGCAACACACGCTTCATTCAGTCAGACGACTTCAAGAAACTCCGCCGTCTCCTCCGCTTGTCATTCCACGTAACTCACGTTGGCAAGGAGCACAACCCCCGCGTCTACAAGGTCGCTCGCATCATCTTTGATGAGAAGTATGGAAAGAATGGCGCAGACTCTTTTGCAGTCACCTTCGTCAAGAAGGACAAGAAGACTGGCAAAGAGGAGAAGCCTATCAGCATCTATGATCATTGGTTGAACAAGTATGGACGCCTCGGCTATCCTGATCTTCCCATGGTCGAGACCAGCCGCAACGGAATTTTCCCAATGGAGGTGTGCAAGCTGGTGCCTTTCCAGCGCTACGCATACAAGCTCGATCCAGATCAGACAGCCCAGATGATCAAGATCGCCGTCAGCCGGCCCAAGTCTCGCAGAGATGACATAATGAATGGCGTTGAGCATCTTCAGTGGGACAAGGACCCTTACTTCCGCGAGTACGGTGTCAGGGTCCAGAAGTCCATGGTCATTTCGAAGGCCCGTCTCATCCAAAACCCCGATGTTCTTTTCGGTGGCGGAGTCAAGATTGACCCCAAGGTCAGTGGCCGCTGGGATTTGCGTGGAAAGAAGTTCATTGAGCCAAATCCAACTCCCCTGGTCTCCTGGGGCTTCATTGGTTGCGGTATGAATGACGGACACGCTGTCGAGAAGGATGCACTGAAGGCATTCGCACAGACCTTTGTGCGAATCTACAAGGGCCATGGTGGCAGGATCCAGAAGGACCCATATGTCCAGGTGTACCCTTACAACGTACCGTACAATGAGATGTGCGACCGAGGCTTCAGAGAGACAGGCATGAACGCCAAGGCTCAGCCCCAGATTCTCTTCTTCGTTGTGAGCACTCGCAACTCGCTCGTATACGAACGCCTGAAGAAGAACATGGATTGCCGCGTCACTCTTGTCAGTCAGGTCTTGCTGGCTGACCATGTTCGCAAGAACAATGCACAGTATTGCAGCAATGTCGCCATGAAGGTCAACGCAAAGTTAGGTGGTGCAACCTGCCAATCTGTGCCCGCTGGCGCAAAGGCCGGCTTTTCATTCTTTGCCGCACCAACCATGATCCTGGGCATGGACGTATCGCACGCTTCACCAGGTTCCAACATGCCTTCTAAGGCTGCAATGACCATGTCGATTGATAAGACTGCCACGAAGTACTGCTCCACTGTTCAGACGAATGGCTACCGTGTCGAGGTTGTTCAACCTCAAACTATGCACTTCCTGTTCTCAAGAATGATGAATCACTGGAAGGCCAAGATTGGATGCTCTCCCCAGCATGTCTACTACTTCCGCGACGGTGTTGCTGAAGGACAATTCAACCATGTCATTGACATCGAGATCAATGAGCTGAAGCGCATGTTCCGAGAGGCCAAGTTTGAGGTTCCTCGCTTCACAGTAATTGTTGCAACAAAGCGTCATCACATCCGCTTCTTTCCCAAGCCCGGTGACCAGAGTGCTGGCGACAGGAATGACAACCCACTGCCTGGCACACTGGTTGAGAGGGATGCCACTCATCCCTTCCATTTTGACTTCTATCTCTCCTCCCACGTCGCCATTCAGGGCACCGCCCGACCTGTGCACTACAGTGTCATTCTTGACGAGGCCAACATCCCAGTCGACAAGCTGCAGCAAATGATATATCATCAATGCTACCAATACATTCGGTCTACGACCCCAGTCTCTCTACACCCGGCCGTGTACTACTCTCACCTGGCTTCTCTTCGTGCTCAGGCACACGAAGATATCGCCGCCGAGCTCAAAGAGGTGCCGACTGGCAAGGCTGGATTCCCTCTCCGTAGGCCTGAGTCAGCCTATTCTGGCGGCAAACCTCCTACAGAGGCTCCTCGACTTACTCCCATGGGATTGCCGGGCGGAAACCTCGAAATGATCAAGGCGATCAACACTACCATGTGGTTCATCTAGGCAATTGCCCTTGATGACAAACCAAAGTCTCTCCAACCTCTCTCACCATCGTCCCTCTTTCCGGTTCTAGCTAAACGGTTCACGGTTGTATGTCGCCCTCGTTGGCGGATACTTGGTTTCCCCACCCCTCCGACTGCTGAAGAATCGTTATGATCACTTACAGCATTGTCTTTCACATTGTTTGAGCTCAGCTCTCGATTTGTCATTTCGACGTTCCTTACTATGGGTAATTCGTCTCGGCTACAGGCCCATTACGTGAGTTCGGCTCTCAGTTGTTACTTTGACGTTCCTTTCAGTGGGTAAATCGTCTCGGCTTTATGCCTCATGTTTGTTGCGATGGATTTTAGGGGAGAGCTGGCATCTACTAAGCTAAGACGGTCTCGTGCAGGGTGAGAGCCTGTAGAGAATAAGTATAGAGCAGATAGTCCAATCTAATACCCTTTACACCATTGCCATGTCTTGCGAGCTGTAATTGTTGCAAAGTGAATGACACGATGATCAATGTGATGGAGTGATGTTTTGTGTTTATCTGTTTGGGAGTCTCTACTACGATAGTGACTGCCTGGACCGACATGTGCTTTTTTTGAACCACATTTGAGCCAGCAGAATTGCGAACCCAAAGTCATGACGACAGCGCAATCTCACCAAGCAACAATGGATTGAAGACTTGCCAGTTCGGCATTTGATGGATTGACTGACTGACAGCAAGCAAGATTGATTACCAGATGTGGATCAAATCGATAGTATGGCACGGTGCTGTCACTCGGGTTGGCCTTTGCTCCTGTACCCTAAGGGGCAGGTAGTGGATGTGCATTGATGAGCATGAAAGTAGCGCAACAAAGATCTCCTCGCGCCTGATGGGAATCGTGGTATGGGAGAAGAAAAAAGCAGTCTGTGGATTTTGGGAGGTGATGGGACATGTCACGAGCTGCCTATGCATCCAAGCACCAACACGATGTCAGTGGGTGCACGAGTCTGTGCTTGGGTTGCACATGCGTAACTCATCTTGACGATTGAACATACCCAAATACCATGATGATCAACGGTCACGGATACCTGAAGGTTGCGGCCCATCAATCTCCAAGCAAGAGAGCCACCCCCTCGTGACGGCCTTGGAGATTCAATTTGATAAGCAGCAGGTGGGTTTTTGGCTTGTCAAGATGTTTACTTGACCCGACTTTACTCTACTCCATACCTACCAAGCATACGACGGTGCCGCGAGACTGGGGGGCAAGAAGCAATTTCTTTTTCTGTTCGTGTTTAAGCTTTTACTTTTTCCCTGGGCCAGCGAGTTGAGCCGTGCGGTCTCGACTGAAAACGCTCAAAATTGAACGATGGCGCCAACGTTGACCAACGAAACGCTCAAGTGCACATGCAACGGCAGAGCGACGGGGAGGGAAAAAAAGTTTATAATGCACAGCGGCACGAAATTTCGTACAGATCAAGGCGAGCAGCAGGTTTTTGAAGAAGGCACACGTGGGGAGAGATGGAAGTTTGATCATCTCTCTCTCTGCGTGATTCAGGGCAGAAGAGAGATGATGTCGGTTGACTCGGCACCTCCCGTCTCTTTCGCAAGGGAAAGGGAAGCATTGCTTTTTTTGCTCATCAAGTCGGAACGACGACACACGAGGGCACGTACGGGTTCAAAGGGTTACAAAGCGAATGAAGAGGACCAAGCTCGCACCATTGACAGTTGGAACTTGGGGCTAGTGTCATGGGATTTTCCAACGGGCACGCACACATACAAACAACACTCACCACTAGACACACACATACGTATGGATGATCAGATGTCAACAAGAGTCAGGTAAGTCGGGGAGTACAGTAGTCAGGGGCGCGCTCGGCAGTGCGTTTTGACGGCTTGTTCGGATCATTGCTTCTTTCGGGCAGAAGCTACTGTATCCCTCCCAAAAAAGCGAATCATGAAGGCGAATGAGAGGTCTTGAACGCCAAAACTTGACACTTTTGCTGCTCTGGTGGCGGACTGCCAAAACATGGGTACGAGAGATGGTCAAGGGCCGCCAATCGAGATCGGAAGAAAGCTCCGAACGGAATAAATGGGGATGCCGAAATGGATGATGGATGACTTTGACAGATCGAGAAAGGACAGATGAAGAAGAAGAAGCAGCAGCAGCCAAGCAGCCAAGCAGCATGTACGGAATAGCATGTGCCAATTGGCCAAGCAATGAGCAACAACAGGGCATCAATATCCGCATCAGTCAAAGTACGTACGTCCATGAAAATCTGCGAGACAGAGATCAAAAAAAGAAAAAGCAATCTCCCACAAAGTCAATAGATGCAGGGCCCAATGGATCTAAGCTACAGAAGGGAGGGGCCCGCACTACCTACCCACCTGTGCGTGCACATTTGCGGAGAAGACGTAATCAATGGGAATGGGAATGGAGAAGATGGAATCTCGGGATGGACTTTCAATTGGCTTGGGACAAAAGGGAATTGTCCTCTTGACCTGTTGACCTGGTGGGCATAAAACTTTTTGGTGCAAGTCTTAATTATCGTAAATTGTTCCAACTGAAAGTTATGCGCGGATCTTACGTACTATCGCCACTCCAAGATTGATGGTCCTTTGCACGAGACTACCACAAACCTACTATTGACATGTCGGGAGCGCGAACAAAAAAGGTGGTGACATGACCAACCAGTTGGCGACCGTTTGACAATAGTGAAGCGTCTGGCATTTTACCTTATGCGCGCCGAAAACGTCTTTCCGGGCTCCCGCATACGCCGACTCTGGGATCGTCGAGACGCCAAATGAAAAAAAAGAAAGGCCCCCTTTTTTTGCTTCTTTTTGCTCTTGTTATTCCCAGTCCACCCCCGAACATTTCTGGTCTTAGCATCATCTTTGGGTACAAGTGTAAACAAGTCAGGAAATGCTGAGTCAGGACATGTGCTTGATTCAAAAGAGTGTCGTCTTTTTGCAACGGCAGGCCGATTGCCGACGTAATTAGATCAGGTCCTTTTTTTTTTTTAATTCTAGTTTAGAGTCGATTGTGAAAGGAAGAAAGAAGGACGAAAGAGAAAAAAAAAAGGATCCCGTGCTTAGTGGGCACTGGGGCCACTGCGGTTACTGAGACTATAGCACTAGAACTGCCACGGTCTCGATTTGGGCCGACGCCGGTGCCACTCTGAAGCGGCAGTTGCACAGTTGATCACTAAAGTACTGTTCCTTTTTCCATTCTGGAGTACCAATTTCAACCTGCATATCGTCTCTTTTTTTTCTCCAACAGGACTGGACTGGGTCGGTCCATACATAGTACCAAAAAAAAGTGTGTGGTGTAGTGCGTAGTGGCAGGCAGGCAGGCAGGTACATGCGTAATGTCCATGTTATTAGTTGCAGCAAGCAGGCAAAGTAAAGCAAAGCAGTATGTGGTGTAAGTGACGCGATACTATATACATGAACTATACTGACTCATCCCAGGGATATGCCAGCCATGCCAGCTCATCAAATGCCTAACAGAGTTGCGGAGGAGGCCAACTGACTGTCTAAGACATTTACTGTGTGCACAAGGACAGGCTGGGAGCGGGAAAGAAAGGGAATTGAAATGCTGGGCACACGTTTTTCTCTTTCTTTCTCGCCTCCTCTCCTCTCCCCGCTCTGTCTGTGTCTCTGTTACCCGGTATCGCTTGTCTCTGATGCCGCCGTTTCCAACCACCCCAAAACCCCTCGTTCGATTCTACCTGATACAACTACCGTATCTGCTCACTTATTAGCATTTCCCCCCCTCCCAATCCCCTTCAGCCGCAAGGTGGGAATGGCTGATATGGATGGGATGGGAAATCTGATGCGCAACAGGGGCAAGGGCTGGCCGATCGGGACGCACAGGGACCGCTTAAGGGACATCCCTGGCTGCTTCGGCTGACAGTGACCCCAGTGTCTATGAGTGCCCCAAACACAGCCAGCCAGCCATAGGTCAGCCAAAAGCACCCAAAGCGTCGTCCCATTGCGTACCTGACAGGCCTGGTTTGTGCTGGGATTGCGATCTACAGTACCCGAATGCTGGGTATCGGCTCCGTTGCTAGGTTATGGAGCGATCCTCGATCTTGATAGAAGCTCCACCGCATAGTGGGAACTCTGACTACCCATCACGATATACTAACATCTACACAGTTAGTATCGACGGCCACGGTACATGGGTACTGGTGGATTTTGGCACACATCTTGGCATGGGTATTGAAAGGCGCGTACCTTGAGCTAGTGGTTAGTGGGTGGTGCATCTCGCATGTTCTCAGCAGCACGCACGAGCTTAGCATCACGAAATCATGCCCTTCTGCGATCTAGCTTTGCGGCTAGCTTCATCTACCTGCCCTCCTTGGGGTGCTTCTTCCACCTGTGTATGGTCCCATGCGAGGGCACCACGACTGCGGGAATGAGGGGCTGGCGTTGTTTGACGGGAAATTAGACCCAAAGGTTAAGACCAGCGAGAAAAGGCGGAGATTTAGCTTTTCGAGAGACACACATACCATACACCAACAGCGTGGCTCTTGGGTGCGGTACGTATGGGTCTTTTCTCTTCTTGGGTCGGGTTATGCTGCCTGGCTGCTACGTACAGTACCACTACTATCGATCGTGCTTTGCTGTGCTGTAATCTGTACGTACTTACGACGTATGAATGGATGCATCTCGGGTATACTCTGATGGAGCAACAAAGCGTACCCTGCCTCTCACATTAGTCTGTCTAGATTCTACCCGTCCGTCTCTTGACACGAAAAGCGCTACGCTGCACTACGTACACTACAATGTTTGCCATTTCTCATGTGGTGGATCGATCTTCAACTGGGGTTTTTTTTAAAGCGGAATAAGCAAAACATATAGATGCTCATGCTACAAGGTCTTCTTTCTTTTCTCTAACCTTCAGTCACCTCACCATCCACGCACTTGCTATAGGCCAACCATCTCAAAAGGGCCCAGGTGATACACTCGCTTTTTGCTTTGCAACTGGCTTTTCCCCTTCTTACTTTCCTTTCCTCCCCACGGTGGACTCTTTCTTCCTGGATCGCCTGCAAATCTGATCCAATAGACTTTCACTAGTCTGACGAGGGTGTCGTTCTTCTTCCCTGCCCTTGGGTCCTTGACACACGGTGTTCATCAACCGACTACCGGGAGAGAGAGGTCCAAGTGCTCGCCTATGCGTCCCAAGCACATGGGTCAAACATCATAAAGACGACTCGACCTCCACGTGTGAAAAGGATAACTTTATTCCGCCGTTGCTGTTCTGCTGCCGTGGTGCTTTGTGAAGAGAGTACTCTGTAGTATCCTTTCCTTCACCCTGACCACTGCCTCCACAACAACCCACGCTCGCTTACCTACTTTACTTTTCAATAACTCGACTCAAACTTTTTTATTTTTATTTTCTAAACCATGGCGAAGGCCATTGTCTTTACAACCCTGGGATGGGTTTACATTATCCTCGACATAGCATGGGCCTTGCTCCTGGCCGCCGGCCTGGCGTTCTTGTACCGTCACAGACGCCTGCCTTTTCTCCAGATTCGAAAACTTCCCCTGGTATTTACGGCGGTCCTCATTCTGCACTGCTATGGAGCCGTCTGCATGCTGTGCCTCACGGTCGGGCAGCTGGTTCCCTGTGATGCCCAGTTCTGGATCATGAGCATCTACCTGCCCTTTGGCATGGCCCTGCTCCAGGCCGCCAACAGTCAGTTCCTCCACGTCGCCAGCCAGCAAAAGAGGTTTGCCCAGTTCAGCGACCTCGAGGACCACGATCTCTCCGAGAAGAGCAGGCCGATTGACCCGTCGTGGAGCTGGTGGAAGCGGAATTATGAGCAGGTCAAGAGGATGGACAAGGTGACACAGATTCTGTTCTACATTGGTATCGGCATGGTGGTTGAGGTGAGTAAAAAAAGAATCATGACTTTCATACATACTCGAGGATGTGCACACAAGGTAAACTGACATGAAACTTGCTGTCTAGCTTCTTCTTACATTCTTGGTCTACTTTGGTAGCGAAATCTTCCACCCCGGCTACGGTCTGTTCAACGTCAAGGTCCCTGGAACGGAGCAGCTGCGTGAAGCACAGTGCTTTGAGGGATGGGAGTGGTATGTCCGGACTTCCCCTTCCTTTGGACCCTGGTATAAACGCAAAACGTTGAATATTAACTTTTTCTTCCTTAATAGGTGGTTGTCCATTGCTTGGCAATTCTTTTGGGCATGGTTCTACGCCCCATACATGCTTTACAAGACACGCAACGTTGAGGACACGCACGGGTGGCGCATCACTACCATTTGCTGCTGCATTGCTGGGTATGTATTCATGGATGAGATGCGGCAAGATTTAAACAAGCACTCGACTCTAACATGGCCAAACACTATAGACTTCCTGCCACGCCGTTGTGGCTGGCTGGGCTTTATGCTCCCGGCATGGCGCCGCTCAATGCTGTGTGGGCTCCGCCTCAATGGTATGTCTCAGAAAGAAAGAAATTGGTTGATTCCAGTGAATTGACAGTCAGTGATGATATCTTGCTAACCTCGCTTCTAGGTACTCTCTTTCCATCTTCTTCATTGAAGTCTTCACCATTGGTATTCCCTGCCTGCAAGTCATCAAGACGCACAACCTCCAGCAAGAGACCATCGATGCCATCGCCGCTTGGGAACGCCGCAACCAAGGCACCGCCACCAACCCCGACGCCATTTCGCAAAAGAGCTCTGGCCTGGCCAGCTCGACCCTAGCCGCCTCGTCCATTGCCGGCAAGAGTGCCCGGTCCAAGGCGTCCAGCACCGACTCGCGCGACTCGACCCTGACCATGGCCGCCCTGGAGAACGTTCTCAAGAACAACCCCCAGCCGCTCCTCGAGTTTGCTGCCCTCAAGGATTTCTCGGGTGAGAACGTCAGTTTCCTGTCCCACGTTGCCGACTGGAAGCGTTCCAGCGGCCTGCTCAAGGTCGGCCCAACCGAGCGCTACGACACCTTTATCCGCGCCGTCCGCATCTACTCTCACTTTATCAGTCTCGAGTACTCCCAGTTCCCCGTCAACATCTCGTCGCGCAACGGCAAGGAGCTGCACCAGATGTTTGCCAAGGCGGCACAGCAACTCAACAGCCGGCGACACTCGCAGAGCTCGGCGACGCCCTTTGGCGACTCGCCCTCGGACTGCTCGACGGCCGACCTGAACGCGGGCAACAATGGCATGGGCGGCAGCGACCTGCAAGAGACGCTCGGCAAGGCCAACCTCCAGGCGGTATCCCAAATGACGGACCTGACTCCCGACGGCATGCTCGACCTGTCCATCCCGCCCGCCTTCAACACGGACGTGTTCAACGACGCCGAGAAGGAGATCAAGTACCTGGTGCTGACCAACACGTGGCCCAAGTTTGTGCACTCGCACGACGGCCGCTCCTCGGTCCAGTCGCGGACGGGCGACCGTGCCGATGAGAAGCACATGTTTGACGGTGCGAGAAAGTACTTTTGTGGTATCGAGAGAATCGTGTAAATCACAACCATGACTGCTCTCTATTTCTTACCTTTTTCCCCTATCCCTTGCCATTTTATCTCTCACTCACTCTCACTCTCACTCTCTCACACACATTCTCTCTCTCTCTCTCTCTCCTGGTGGAATGACCTTTCCTACGAATAATTGTCTGGGTTGGGTTTTCGAAACATAATAACCATTTCATGGTTATTTATTTATTTTTTCTTTGGAAGGAAGGAAGATGTGTTACTAGTAGTAATGTCTGAGTTAAAATGGACAAACCTTTTATGTAGAGATACCCCCTTCCCGGATACCCCCAACGGAAATAAAATTTTCTTTTCTGGTTCTTCCTTCCAAAAAAAATACCGATCACGGATCATTGGATCCATCCACATCTTCATGACGATTACTACTGTTCTCTGGTATCTCTATAGCTGTAGTTATGAATTCTATGGTCGACAAAGACTTTTGATCCACTTGGTGACTGTGAAGGCCTCTCGACCATCCTGATCTTAGCAGCGCAAAGAAAGGCCTCGTCCTCGCAAGAACCTAGCCGGATACCAAGGCGAATCTAGTATAACTCACCGCACACCACCACCAACCACTACACCCTCATATAATCTACCGTCTGACGCCAATGATTATACCTAGCCGTGAATAAAACACCTTGTTTTCCTTGGCTCTTTCTTTGCTAAAAATAAGACCTAGATAGGTGGACGAAAGAGAGAGAGGGAGATCCAGATCACTTGGTGGTCAGCACTTGGCCCAAAACCCAAAATACCTTGGGACAAAAACCTGCCTGCTCTTTGGAACAGCGTAGAAAGTTTACAGCCATCTCTCTTGCCCAAAATTTCTCAATCATTACCGAACCAAAGTAGACAAACTTTGGAAAAATAGTCACGGAAGGAAAAAGTGGAAATATAAGCAAACCGGGTTATCCGGGAAAGAAGATCTTGGGGAACAGGTCCTGGACAAGGTTTGCTTATAGCCACCAATATGTGCGGTTGGGCATCTCACTTCCCTGATACTGGGTTTTGCGAGCTCATCATTGGCGTGTGTAAGAGCCCTTTTGCCTCTCAACAAAGTTGCTGGAGGCAAAACACCCCTCGCTGGAATCAGATCTGGGGCGAAACAGTCGTGTCGGATACAAGAAAAAAGAATATTTAGCGTTTGACTAAATTCGTGCTCGACGACCGGAGAAGGGTGGTCGGGTTTTGTTTGTGGTAGCTTTTGTATACAGTGTGTTGTGTACAAGTTATAAATATCATTTCGCTCGAACAAAGTCATCTCTCCGAAGGAGGGGGGGGGGGGGGGGGGGGGGGGGGCTGGCCAAATCGACTTCTGCAAGGTTGGTGGAGACTAACATCTGACTCTCAATACACCTGGTGCCGAGTCTACTTCATCTATATTCCAATAACAAAGCTTTTTTTCCTTCCTTCTCTTCGTTTTGCATAGTTGGTCGAACGAGACGCAGACTCGTCGATCACCACACACTGCTGTTTGAAATACATACGGTGGGCAATGACACAATCTTCATGTTTCAATGCTTGCTGGTACTCATGCAGTAATATCATTGCTCATGCTAAATGCAAAAAAGCTTCAACACCATACGCTAATTCAAAAGACCCCGAATAAGTACATGTCCCATTCCTGTCTGGTTCTCTCCATTTCTTTTTGTCTCTGCTCTTCATAGTCGTTCTTTTTTCTTTATTTTTGTTGGTTGGGTGGGTATCAATATGGTTTCCTTCCTTTTTCTAATTCCTCAACTCAATCTCCTCCATCTCCTGACCACCACGCGGGTCTCGCGCCTGAGACACATAATTGTGGTGCGAGCTCATGGCACTGACTCCCGTCACCGCCGTCACGTCCGTCACGGAGCTGACGCCGCTATTGACGGACGCGTGGCGGTCGACGGTGCCCGCGCCCGTAATGGTTTCGCTGACGGGCCGACTGCGCGGGGGCGATGTCGTGGTCGTGGTCGTGGACTTGGTACTACCGGCAATGTCTTCCTCCTCGAGCGACTCGGGCACGGCATTGAGGGCATGGCCTCGCGCGGGGATTTGTTGTGTCGCGGCGTCCATCATGCTCAAGGCCGTGTTCGGATCCCAGCTCGTGCGCGTGAGCGAGTTGCCTCGGGACCGTGTTCCGCTGGCACCGCCAAACTCGGATCCCAGACCCAAGTCGATGCCTCCCTCCTGGGCCGAGCTGATGCTGGCACGTCGGGCAATGTACTCGTCAAACTTGGTGTCGCGCTCGTGGTTATAGCTCTCCCTGCGCTCCATGGCGGGCTTGGGACTCGTCTTGGCGGGCTCGACGGTCGTTGATTTGCTGGGTATCACGTTCTTGAGGCTGAACGATTGTCTGCGCGATGATGTTGACCCGGGATCGTAGAGGGCCTCGGGGTCGGCATCGTTGAGACTTGTCCGCTTGGGATTGTACGACGTGTCATACTCTGAGCTAAAGCCAAAGGCCTTGACATTATGCTGAAGGTGGTACTCGTCGAGCTTGGAGAGTCGACGGAAGACTATGGTGCCGTAGATGATTGGCACAATGGTGAAGAAGCTGAAGCGCCTTCGGTTAGCATATTTTTTCCACCTTGACTTGTACATGGCCTCTTAGGTCAAGACCTAGGTAAGAGAAACTTACAGAAGGGCACAGTCCAAGCCAATACCAGCAGAGGAATAATGCCGGTCATCATGCTGGATGTAGACGGTAATGTCAAGGGCCAAGATGGCCGCCGACAGTGTCAAGCTAACAGCATTGCCAAACACCATGGCGAACGGAGTAAGTGCTTCCGCAATAAACTTGGCGATTTGAACGAGGTTGATGACGAGGGAGGCGGCCGAAAAGGCAATATTCACACATTCCCATCTTCGGTCATGTTAGTATGAATTCATATGATCGCCCAGATGGAAAGACTTACACAAACTCGACCATGGGAACATCGCCCTTTAGCTCGTCATTCTTGAATTCGCGGACCGTGTTGGACAGTCGGTAGGAAAAGAGACCAACGAGGGTCAATAGTATCGGTACTTGGACGATCCAGCATGGCAACAATATCCTCTTCCGCCACCTAGCACGGTCGAAATGTGCCTGATCCCGGTGCGATCCAATCATTTTCGTGGGTTGTAGTCGGCCGAAGGACCGATGTGATTTTAATTTTTCAAAATGTCCTTTGCAACAAACAAAGCTGGACTAGAGAAAGTCTCAGAGCTTCGAACCTAGGCGCTGTGTTTCCTATTCTCTTGTTTCCTTTTATGTAAATGAGTTGTCAAATACAGTGATCAACTGAAGAGAGACATGAGGTGGCGAGGGAATGGAAAGTAAATATGCTGATCCTTCTATGGGGGCGGTTCATGTGTTCGACTGATCATATGAGGCTCAAGCTAGACAAGGAAGCAGGCTAACATGCAGGAGGAAGGGCGGCAGGACATTATATAAACATGCACAAGACACGTCAAGAGTCAGTCAGTCAGTCAGTCACTTTAGTCAATCCTGGGGGTTCGCGTAAGAGGAAAAAAGATCCCCAATACCAAGTAGTAGCGGGCGGTGAACAGCGATCCGTGGACCACTAACAAGTCATTCGGGATCAAATCAAAAAGCTTCAGTCAGCCACGGCGTCCCGCTTGTTCCATGAAAAGGGACCCAAAACAAGGATAAGTTGTTCACCCTCCACCATTGCGCGAGCACGTATGCACGTAGTTGTAGCTTAGCCTGCGGAGTCGGGCGACCGAGCTCAGGCTGGCTTTTGCTCAGCCCTTTTTCTGTCCCTTGCTCTCTCTCTGACACTGAAGAAAGAAGCACAAGCAGAAGAAACAGGATAGGGTAGCTGCTATTCGGGGCAGAACTGATCAGCCATGATAGATACCCACTCGGGTAAGAAGCTCTGTACAAGCTATCCCCCTGCTTGCTGTCAAGGTCCATTGAGTAAGTCCAATGGGGCTTTGCTGCTTCTGGCATAAATCCCATGAAAAGTATGGGAAGCGGTTGCGCAGCTGAATGGTTAGTCTGAACGGGGCGTGGAGCACGGACTGACAGCACACTGCGATTCTCTGGGTCTGGGGACTTGGGAGGGATGCAGGCAAATCCAGGATGGAAATATGATTGATTAGATGTTCATGGCATAACTCGAAAGTGAACCAATAAAAGGAAATATCATTCTCTGTTTTTGGTGATAGTATGCACATGGTAAATAGGCGAGGCAGGCTGAGCACGGAAGATAACTTTGGATGCAACTTTGCGGCTCTGTACTGCACAGGAAGGATGAGATGGGAAAGCTGGTTGGTAGGGTACGGAATACAACATGGAAATCCACCGGGATGCTTCTTTTGGGATCGCCCAGACCCTCCCAGTCGGTGACCAATTTCGGGATCACTGCAGAGAAGGCAGAAGGCTCTCAGATAATGTCCGTTTCTCCCATGTGTGCTGACCTTACTCCCTGGTAGATAGGCCATGTAGGTCTTTGAGCCGCCGGCCGCATTTGTTGACAAGCCAAGGAGCTAGCATGGGCTCTTTTTGCCTTCAGCTCGTCCAGCTGGAATAGGCAATAAGCTTAAATGGCTTGACAAGCTGCTGGCTGCTTGCTTCTTCTTCAAGAAGCTCTCCATTGATGGTCAAGATCTGCTGTAACCAGAATGTGTTTGAGCTAGCAGCTGAACACCAAACGATGATCTTGGTTAGTTGATCAGTTGAGTTCTTTCGGGTTCATGGGGGGAAGCTGTGACAGCCGGTTGGGAATCTCTTCTGGCAAGATCCATGGAGGTAGGTGACCTGATTTGATCATGACAAAGCATCATTCCAGTGACGGGATTTGGAACAAACGAACCACACACCCGCCCAATGTACACCGCGGACAAGCGGCCGCAGGGGCGGGCTTTGTTTGGAAGAAGGACGACGACGGAACGCGATAATCCGATGTGCAATGTAGAGTCGGTCTGTTTTCCGCCCATTCACTCACTTACTTGGCCACCAGAGGAGAGAGACTTGGCAGCCTAAAAGGGAGCTGTGCTTAAAATAGCCCCTAGGGCTGGTCTATGCTGAGTTGGCCTAAGAACATAGGCCTAAGAGAGGGGCAGTGCTTACATTCGCTCCATATAGTAGCAGCAAGACAAGCCTAGGACTTGGACCATTGGGCGGGAGTGAGAGCTAAACCCATTAGGAAAAGAACCAGTGGTTTCGGTTCCGATGTGTTTTGGTTGGTTTAGATTATTCCATCGACTTTTTGTATCGCCTCATGGTCTGTCTCTTGTCTTGTAAATGATAGGTGAGCTATTGTTGGAATCTGTCTGTTTCGAAATCATTGGATCGCCGTAAGAAAAGTGTCTTGGTTCTTTTTTCAACGGCGATCCCTCGAAACGCGGGGAAAGTCAACGCATGCGCCACTGACTGATTTGTTGTCAAGTTTTCTAGATATCCATCGGGTCCCAGTATGCAGTGTCAAGACCCGCTGAAATCATCTTCTAGAAAGAAAAAGCTTCGTCAAGGGACGCGTCAGGCAACGAGACGCGTTGCGAACGATTGTCCATCCTTGTGCTCATTATTGCTCACCAGTACCCTCATTGAGAAGATCATCGGTGAGTAAATAGTCAAATTGTTGAGACCGACTTGAGGATCACGGATTTAATGAATGGCGCAACGAACGAAAATTACAGTGGGGCGTGGGGAAGACGCGAAGGATTTCTCAATTTTTTCCCTTCTCCTTCACAATCCCAACCCAATCATGCGCAACAGTCTACGGGTTTTAGTCCTCTGATAATCCCGGTATTTCTATAGCAGATCCTTGAATATCCATAAAAACAATTTAGGGGCACCCCGGCGACCAAGACCCTGAGAGCGTGCTTTTGGAACTTTCGGTCTACTACTGCTGTGCATCGTCTATCTGCAACTCCCCAAGTCCCGTAGTTAGTAAACAGCCCGGGACCAGGGCCCGGGGCATTCCCAGAGAGCAGCATCTTGACTCCCGACAAAGATTTTACGATTGTTAGCTCGAGATCTGGTGGGAAATCTTGGAAAATCTTTCCGAAGTGACTACTATCTATAGACATGCGTGGCCATGGTTCCCATGTCGCACAAAGTCTGAAAGAATATAATCCATGTAGTATATCAATTCAACATGTATTGTAAATAGTAAATTACACTTACAGTGCATCGGCGCCCATCTCCTCTAGACTGTAGATTGTTTAGGAAGTTACTGGCAGGTATACATTGCTCGTATCGTCAGACTCCGCACATGCTTTCCACCACGATGACAACTTCTTGTCCACCGACGGGAATGAAATTTTCCTCTTCAAATCATATGTGTTAACACCATCCCAGTCCTCAACCATTGTGACCACGACATAGTCAGTTCGACTGGTTGGATCCAGTGCAATGGCCTGAGATGAGCTTAGCCCCCGATGCAACACTAAGTCCCAAGTATTATGACTTACCTCTACAGCAAGTTTACCGGTATTCTTCCGCAGAAAGTCCTCGAGTTGCTTGTAGCAGCCCTTGAGATCCCATATATGGACGAATCCATTATCTTCCGTGACATACGTAAAGACAAAGGAGCCATTCATGCCAAATGCTACAGTCACAACCGTAGCGGAAAATCTCCTTACAGCGTCCTTGAATGATGTGCTTCCCTGCAAGAGTATCCAGCCATTTTGCCAACGAGTGAAGAAGCAACCGTCAGGCCCAAGAAAACACACATCTAGATTCTCTATCCCCCATTGGGTGATCGCATTCGTGAGAAGAGGATGGTTCTTAGGGAGGCCGCTATTTTTCACTATTGGGCGGATTAGTTCCAGTGTCTCCAGAAATCGTCTACGGTACAAGAGAAAACAGCTTACACCACCCGTCGTCGTGGCAGTGAGCAATGAAGCTTTCCCGGTCAGGAACATTGATGATGCTTATGGACTGTATCCATGTATGATTCCACTCAATTTGATGCTGCCTGTAGAACCTTGTTAGCCATAAGAATCTTTACTGGGATTCGTGCAATACTGCCATTGATGCTTTTTTAGACTGACAAAGGAACAGCATTGACCTTGCAGACATAGACTGAATTGCGATCTCCAAACCTCGTCAGAAGTGGCAGTGTAGTGGGTGTCGGGCGCCAACACGTCTTCACTCTCGATCGGACTTTGGAGACTCATTTGCTGCAGGTCGTAGTGCAAGTCAAAGTTTTCTCTTTGGATAGTCTCCTGGTTCGCTTTGATCTGCTCAATCTCCTGCTGATAAGCAATGTGACACTGGTCTAGCTTCTGCCGTAGTTGATACCATTCCTCATCTTTGGAGGAGAGGAGCGTGTTCATTTGTGCGCGCAATCTCTCATTACTGCACTCGGCAGCCTGCAATTCAAATGCGTGTCTTTGGCGCTCTCGTTCCAGAGCTTGCTCGGCATTGCGTTCGCTCTGTCTTAGCGCCTCAGTCATCTGCTGGAGGGTTTCTGTTTGCCATGTAAAGTCTTGGCGTTCTCTTTCCCATCTTCCTCGTTCGGTGTTCCATTCTCGCTGCCGTGGTGTCGAGTCGAACCTTGCTGGTTCGGGGCCCCAGCGAGGCGGTGGTCTCTGTTGGTACGTTGCTTCATTGTAGGCATCAGGATCGTATCTGGGGCCGTTGTTTGAGAAACCGCGCCACATTTCCCTGAAAAGCACCAATACTTGTTGAGTATCCTCTACTCAAAGTACGCGGATCACGGGTGGTCGACTATCGAAAGTAAGGGTTACTCGTAGCATGAGGGGAATTGGTCTTGTAAAGGTGCCCGAGCATGGCTACAGGCAGTGCAGACCGTTGACGTCGCTGGGTTTTTGTATCATGGTATGGTTGGTATGAGAACAGAGCTAGACTCGCGTGAACGACCAAATGAATGTTGCTCCACGAGAGGCTGTGTATCGGATCGGTTGCATACATTCGTTCCGGTCGTGATAGATTTTGATTAGCTTCGGGAAATGATGAAATGGACGCATGATATCTTGTTACATCTGCAGCGGCAAGGCAGGTGTCCGTATTGCAGAGGGAACATTTCTGACTGCTGGTCATGTTTTCCACGGAGTAGGCCTGAGCAGGTGAAACCATGCCACCGGTACATTATGCGAGCCTGATGTTTCTGTATACCCTCAAGTGATGGGAGACAATAGGCTGGAATGGTTAGCTACAGCACTCGGGTCGTTGTGTGTGACGAAGAAGGCAATGGATCAGTTTCGGTGCACAGAAGGCATCCAATGGGCATTCATGCTGTGAGCGAGTGCACAGCATAACTCTCATGCTGATGCAGATGGCTGTAACTTGAAAGGTTGTCGGTCATTATCATTCGTAAGTAGACTTGATACTAGTACAGAGCGCCAATCATTCATCGCAAAAAGAGACGACCTTTTCTCATGAGCTCGAGAGCCTTGACACTGTCACCACCCAGTCAGGAACATAAGTGGCTGGCAGTGGACCCAGACGCACAAACTCATCCTGTTGAACACGAAAACTGAAGGGGATAGTGACACAAACGCATCGGGAAAAAGTACTCCATCGTTGTTTACTTCCAGGTCGCGTTCCGCACACTCAACCCTGCCTAAGGTTGCCTCCTGGCGGCCAAGTCGTGCAAATCTCCCGTCTCGGCGACCTGGACCCGTCCGCCAGTGGTCTGGTCGGCCTTCTTGGGACCCTTTGGCACAGCATCGTCAATCTTGTCCTTGATGGCCTCGCCGACGAGTTCGGCGTTGCTGCCAATGTCTGCCTGGGCAGTGGTGCCAAAGTTGGACTTTTGCTGGTCAAGGACGTTTCTAAAGGTTTCTGACGTCAACGGTTCTGATCCCCCTCCATTGGAAAAAAGTGTCACGCGAGCTAACTCACTGGGTTGAGCTGGTGTTGTTGTCCGCCATGGTGACTGATTATGATGTGGTGGATACCTCTTTAAGTGCAAGGTGAATGCTGATATTGAGTTTTGGTATGATTCAAGTAGTGATGGGTACTGTAATTGTATCGTAGGAAATTGATGTGTGAAAGAGAGTGCACCTACCTACATTTGTGGTGAACAAACATGTTTAATAATGCTCCTTCTCCAACAATTTGCTGACGGGAGCTGTGACGTAATGATCGTCTTGTGGAGAGTTGCATAAATTCGCCTTCTGCCTTCCCTTGGTGCATTCAACGGCAATGACATGATGGTAAGGCTGTTGTTGATGGTTTGGAATAAATTGAATTAGAGATTATAGCTTCTACAATAACATATCTATCCAATCATTGTGACTAGAGATTAACGGTCGATCTTGTATCGCCGTAGGTATAATCATGGCCAGCACCTGATCTCTGCTTCTTACGGCCTGGGCCGAATTTCCGTAGTGCACGAGCCATTATAGTTACAGCATGGGAGATCCTGACCCCACTTCTAGGGGACTGAGACGGTTGAATTTCTTGGCCACGGACAAAAGAGGAGACTATTTCTGTGTCTTGACAGCTTGACAGACGCTGATGAACCATTGTGTTGATGTTTTTAATGGAGCAGGATGAGTGAGTTGTTCAATATTTGCGCATTCTAGGATGAATCAAAACTGCTCAAGCCTTTCTTGTCGCTTGCAATCGCGTCCATGTCTTCTGGTCCAAATATGCTGCTCACAGTGGAGAGGTGTAAACATCACCAGTATTCCTGCGTACGACAATAATGTTTGACATGATGTGGCGATAATGCAAAAATAGATTCGATATTGAGCAAATATACACATATATATCGAATGATTGTATTATTCAAAATCATGCATCTTACGAATTGTTTTGACGCTGTCAACTCGAGAGTCCACTCACAAGTTTGAAGGAGGCGTCTCACAACATGCGACGAAGACCCTCCCCCCTGGCCTGCAACACCAAACCCCGACCATCGTGAGAACCCCCCGAGCTGCAAGTCTTCCATACATAAGATCTTCACGATCGCTCTGATCGTCCAAAGTCTTGTCTTTTTTGTTCTTATCATCTTGACTCGAGATAATCTTAAAAATTTACAGTTTTATTCATTTTTTTCTTTTCATTCATCCTAGCAACGTCTAGTGTTCCATTCTTTTCCGCTGGCCGACTTTTTTTGCCCTTTTTCGACAATACCAAGCATTACAGCAATACAATACGCATAATACATCCATAACCAACTTTCGTGGGCACTATCAAGATATAAAAACGAGAAAAATGTACTTGTCCAATCTCGCCGTTGTTTTATCCCTGGCAGCCGCCTCCATCGCTGCGCCAGCCACCAGTTTCGCCCCCTATAAGCGTGCCGACGTCCTCACGTTCCGGAAATACAATGACTTTCAAATTTCGGACGGTGTCGCTGGAAATGCCTTGGCCGAGGTGAATGCAGCGTTCCCGGTAAGATGATCGACATACAGCCCTAAAGGGGAAAAAAGATCCCGTCCCACTAACAATAATTCTGGCAACAGGTCGACATGTCCGACCCGGCCGCAGTATCCACCAACGATCTCAACATCCTCATTGCGGCGCGGCAGACGGCCGAAAACGCCGAGGCGGCATTCAACACAGCCATTGGGCCCACGGCGTCGGGGACCGACGAGGCCGCCCTCGAGGTCGGCAAGATCAAGAACAAGGTGCTCAAGCTGCGCACGTTTGAGATGCTCGTCACGGTGCAAATGGCCCAGGGCGCCACCGACAAGGCCGCCCAGCTCGCGGATATCCAGGCCAAGCTCAAGACCAATGTCGGTATCGATTCGGCTTCTGCGGGCGATGCTAGCCAGAGTGTTAGTTTTACTGATGATGTGCAGCCGCAGTAGGCTGCCGACTATTGTCACAGGAGTCTTCGATACTGGACGTGGAATAAGGCGCTGCGACGAAATCAGATCACCTAGTATGCAAGGATGAAGAACATATATCTATTATGCCTACTCAATCAATATGGCGGATCTCGCAACAAACCGCTCCAGAACGAAATCGAATGGGACTCTCTGGCTAGCTAAACTCATAAATATCACCGTACGGTAGCTGTACCCCGTAAGATCGAGGAATTGATCAGTCAGAATGAGCGTTCCGAGAGCCATATACCCAATTAGGATTGAATTTTGGTACTTTCTTTTGACTATGAGAGTGACTCTATTTCTCTTGGAATCCTTGATATGCTTTACTCTTTCAAACGTACAAAACTCAATCACAAGCATATTTGAATTTGATTAGCTCAGCGTAGCTGTCTACACTGTCGGAGATACGAGCACATTGACCGAGTACCATTTCAAGATCTGGGGTATAGCCAATTTGAAACTCTGTATCAATATGCTTATTCCCGCGTCGGGTTGATTGCGTAATCGATCTAATTTTATACCAGCAAACTATGCATGACCCCAGATTTTACCAGATTGGTGACCAATGCATGTTTGTAAACAACTGAATGTAAATGTAAGAGACGTGCAGTCGAATACTCCACTAGCTTATGTCAAATAACCTTGATTCATTCACATTGAACTGGTGTCTTGAGATAGTCTACCATTGTACTCATCAGTTGAATGTCTTGAATTAAGCGTGGCTACTCAAGATAAACGTATGGAATATAGAAATGCGTAAAAATGCATCAAGGCAACTGTCAAGCTCACTGTATTCCACACAGTCGATCGTCACATGAATTGTTGACAGAACATGGCAAACAGTGACTGTATAAAGTTTGTATTAGATTTTATTGAAAGTGCATGATGGGCACTGTTGATAAAAGTCTGGCAAGATATCGTCTTGAGAATGAGTGCCAATTCGGTCATGATTCAAAGGCCGTATGCCTATGACTTTCCCCCCCTCTGAAAGCTAGGAGGCCATGGTGCTGACAAGTTCAGAACGATGCATGTTCCACCGTAATCTCAAGGTATACTCGTCCGAGTCGTGGGGAACCAGATTGCTATGTCGCGTCTTGGTGCATCGGCTTTAATTGGTATTGATTATCCATGTCGCATGTGACGTTTTTACAAGCCCTTAGCGACCGAGTCCTGGTACACACCAGCGGCGTTGTAGCTGACAATGTTGCCGCTGGCATCGGTCATGGCAGCCTCTTGTACGGGGACCTGACGTCTGACGACCTTGGCTAAGTGGACATGTTAGCACATGAACCTCTAGGTTTTACTGGCATTGGTAAATAGTGGTAACTTACTGAGCTCAGCCGAGGCAACGGCGGAAAGAGCAAGAGTGATGAAAGCGAAGAACTTCATTTTGAATAAATTTGTCGAGATCGTCTCGTAGTGAGGGTTGTATATGCTGTCGTAAGTGAATGATCAAAAGTCGGCCGGCGACAAGCAAGGTCCTTTGTCAAATTATATAGACACACGAAAAGAAGTGAAAGAATAAATGACTCGACTAGAGCGGAAGGGACTTGAGAGGATGAATATGAAATGGAATACCAAGAAATGACCCAAAAGAGGATGGGCGAGAAGGGCTTTTGTAGGATAGCTGAAAGGACAGGCTGCTGGCATCCCATGCTTGAGATGATGGACGGGTTCAAGGGTGCCCAGCTCGGAAAGAGTCGACGCTTCCCAACTCAAACAAAACAAGGGACGAAGTCACCCAGTGAGCGTTGAGCCATCAAGGCAATCCCAAGGCTTCCAAGGCATGGCTTGACCTGATCTTCGGCATCCGAGTAACTTGAGACTGACATCGCCTCTCCAAGCCCAAGTCGAATCGCCCAAATCGGGTAAGAGACCAACGAGGGATGCCAAGACTGATACAACCCGGGGCTGGAATCCAGACCGCGAGACCTCGATATCAGACCAAAGTGGACATGGTAACTAGATATTTCATTGGTCACATGTCCAAGGCCATATACAGGTCAGTTGTGTTTTTGCATGGGGTTGGAAGCTTAACTCTCGGCATTGTTGGCCGGGATCCACTGGAACGAACTCGTGGGCTTGGGGGTGCAGAGGGGGATTATGGGGTTGAGGCTCTGGAGATTCTTGGCGCCGCGACGGGGGTCTGAGACGCATCTCTAACCGCCATCAGCCTAAACCCGTAGCGATGCCCAGCAAGACCTTCCTTCACCCCTTCTCGGCCGGGCGCCAATTGACGACTTGACGAAATGAGCAGTGGGATCCTCGCGGCAGTGGAGTTTTCCGTGTTACAGATTTGTTCAGAAACCATCAGGAATAGCCTGGTTTCAATGCCAAGCGATATTTCATGTAGTATTCTGCTGATAATAGCAAATTCGTTTTGAACTTTAAATCTTCACGTGTGTCCACAACAGATGACGTTGGCGTCCAGTCTGTGGACGTCTCTCAAGCTGCTTATCTTTGAGGTTGGCGACCAAGATGCGTGCGCGTTGTGATTGTGATAGGTGTCCGATTGCAAGACGGGATGACCAATACATCAATGCGCTCATTGGTAATGCGATGGCATCCATGGTGCTGCAAGTCGGATGGAATTGCAGGCGGTTTTCAGGGCATGACTGCAAATCTGACGTGCCTGAGCACCAACGAGGATTGCTGCTAGAACTACCCTTTTTGGACTCTGGGTATATCCCTTACCCTATGATCAACACTTTGAAGGACCTGATTAGAAGGTCGAGGTGTTGCAGCGGACCACTAGGCCACCAGAGTATTCACTGCCACTGGCTCAAAAATGCCCACATAGTCGCTGGAACCACGAGATTCCGGCAGCAAAAATTGGAACGCTTTAACATTTTATTCTCTCACATGCGATCAACCGCCAGCAATGACTTCCGCCGTCGAACCGACGCCGCCGCCAAGATTTTCATAATATCTCGGATCCATACCGGCTTGCAACCTTGCTTCCTCGTTGAATGGTCCCTTTATTGCCCCGGCAAAGTATTTCTTAACGTTTGCTCGGAACACCTCTACGGGATCTGTGGCTTCTTGTTCACAAATCCAGGTCAACCACCGATGGCCGGTCGTGACGTGAGTAATTTCATCGTTGTGGATGATATCGAGTGTATCCACACTGTCCATGTCCTGGGCCTTGCGAAACTTGTCGATGGTCATGGGGTTCACGTCGAGGCCGCGGGCCTCGTGTACCAGAGCAATGACACTGATCCGAGCCCGGAGATCGTGCGCTGTAATGACTGCCGAGTCCCACAGGCCGTGGTGTACCGGCAACGCGCCGAATCGACTGCCAAGTTCTTCCAACCTGGATCGCAGCAGACTAAAATGCTTTGCTTCGTCATTGGCCACCTTGAGCCAGTCATAATAAAACGTTCTAGGCAATTCCCGCGAAAGTGCCTTGTCAGGTGAATTTGTTTGGAATGTCGCAAATCTCACACAGATATCAATGGCAAGGTCGATGGCCCACTGTTCAATATTGGCCAAGTTATGCAGCATCATAATTCGGCTCTTTAGTGTTCCTCCTTTCCCGGCTCTGGGCATTGCTCCGGGATTGAGTTTACCATAATCATCCCGCCGGGGTTTATCGGGTGTCTCGACAGTGCCGGCGCCTAGTTCCATGGGCGAGGAAGTTTTCTCTTTGGTGGCGAATAACGAAAACAGTCGTGTCGTGAGTTCAATCTTTTGCTCAGGATCTGCTGTATTCAGAATGTGGACGCACCAGTCGCAAAGGGTAGCGTCATCACCAAGGGACACTGCCTCCTTTGATGCCTCCTTCTTTGGTCCATGCTTGAACTTGACCTTTTCACTCACAGGATCGAGCCGCAAAAGACCAAGTTCGCCATAGCCGGCGACTTGCACCGACACTTTCCCATCTTCTATAACGACGGGAAAGGTGCAAGTCTTGATGCCAAAGCTAGACTCACCAGTCTCCACGTTGAAGTCGTATGCATGCCAAGGACAGGATGCCACATATGAAGAGTCCTCAATGTCCACGTGTGCCTCGATCATGGGCCCGCCAGCATGTGGGCATTCAGCCTCCATGGCATAGTAGGTCCAGCCATCCTCGGTCTCGTTGGGTTTTCTCGAAGATGTAGTACCCTCTATCCTGGGCAGCCTGAATAGCACCAAGCGCTTGCCATTGGAGAGCATGACCGAGTACCTCGTGTTTGTAAAGTCCTTCAATAATCCTAGGTGGACGGTGGACGCCATCTTGGCAATGGAGTCCTGAGGACTGCTCAGTGCCTTGAGCTCCAGTAGTCGACTCCGATGTCTCAAGTCTGGCACACGTGTAAGTGAATGTATTGCATACCATTATACACGTGATGCTACTTGTGGAGCAGGTAACAGTTGTTTGTGCTACTTTGTCCTGCCGGATTCGAGCAGTATAAAATAATGCAGCTCACCTTTGACTTGGTCGGCAGAAATGTGGTGCCACCGGACCAGATAATGACGGTTCCCCGTGACCTGGCACGGGTGGCTCTTTTGCAATAGAGACGAATCAAGAATTGCTCTTGGGTATGATCGAAATGCGCCTCGTATACTCCGTGATAATCCAACGACTGACATGACTTGCTGGGGAAAAGGCTTGACGGGGGGGGGAAAAAAAAAGTCTCCAGTTCGGAGAGGCCCGGCTCTAGCGTAAAAGCAGCGAAATCTACTGTGACCTAGTGGCGTCTCTCAGCTGCAGGTCCAAACATCTCCACACTTCAGCTGCGAAACCGTCCTCATTGGCCATCAGCAACTGAAAATAGCGTGTCGATGGCCCCAGAATCAAGGCTTCTAGGTTACCCAATGTAGGCTCTAGCATGACACTTGCAGGGGAGCCGGTGCGCTATCAATGATGCGTGCGGGGTGAGAATCGCGGGGCCATCAGCGGATAAGAGTCAAGACTCCCTGGGCTTCGAGTAACCCAACGCCCGCTTCTCGAGTAATGTAGTTATCATCTTATCCTCTTCCACATCTTCAGTCATCTTCCCGACAAATCTGCGTGACCGAAACGGGAATATAGTCTTGTCTCTTCTTTTTGTCTTCCTTTCACTCATTCTCTCGTATCCGCCCGCCTGCCACTACGATCGACGCAACTATACCATCCGTACTACAATACTCAGTGACGTACCGTAATAGCCCAGTTGCGACGGACCCATCATGGCAACTGCTGAGCACTGCATCTACTGCTTCGAGTCCCTGGCGGCTCATCTCGAGCAACGGAAATCACTATCTCTGGCAGATATCGAGAAGCTATACCCCAAGTACCGTCAGAGCAATAACACCGACCTTGCAGCGGGAGCATCCGAGGGGCTCAAGAAACAGATTCCCGCCCTGGAAAGGCTAGCCGATCAATCCTCTGGAAGCAACTCATCGCTCCCCTCGTCGGGCTCCAGCATGTCCCTCGATGCCGACACGCCCGACACCTCGACTTCTTCCTTGCCCACAGAGCGTGAGGCCATCACCGAATCTCCACTGTTTGTGACCTGGAATACAGTTTCGCCCAAGTCGGGAAATACCAATTTGCGGGGATGTATTGGCACGTTCGAGGCACAAGAGCTGGAGGATGGTATCTCGTCGTATGCGATCACGTCGGCTATCCACGATATGCGCTTCAACCCCATTTCGAAGCGGGAGCTTCCCTCACTTGAGGTTGCCGTTACGCTGCTCACCGACTTTGAAGAGTGCGATGATGCCATGGACTGGGAGCTCGGTACGCACGGAATCCGCATCAGCTTTACCGAGCGCGGCAGGCGATACGGCTCTACATATCTGCCAGACGTGGCTCCCGAGCAAGGATGGGACAAGGAAGAGACCATCGTGAGTCTGCTCCGAAAAGCAGGCTGGGTAGGTAAGAAGGACAAGTGGCACGAGCTGGATCTCAAGGTGGTCCGGTACCAGGGCAAGAAGGAACACCTGCGATATCCCGAATTCAAGCAATTCCGAGATTGGTACAGCGAGCATAGCAAGGCTTGACTAGATGTACCCGATCTAGGCGTAATCAAGGATTGGAGTTTTTGGCGCTTTGCTCTCTGGGGGGCTCCTATACAGGTAGACATGTTTCATCATTCCATCCCATAATTCTTGACCACAAGAAAGGTCAAACTACATACAGCAAGCTTTCAATCTAACGCAATCGATCGGATTTACGAAGAACACGCAAAACTGCTATTGTCATGAAAGTGTATATATACTACACCATTACACCATCTATTGTGTTACAGGTGATGCCTGGATAGTCACTATCTCATCGAAGATCTAGAACTGCCCCTCGTGGCTCGTCGGATCTCTGGCCAAAGGATTTAAAATTGCAAATTCCTACAGGCCATTCTTTGGAATGACCCAGCAACATTTGCCAACCCCTGGGACCTGAAAATCGCTGTCTCACCACGCGTTCAATGTCTCGACCAGATAAACTAGCGCCTCTTCGCATATCTTGCCAGCCAGAATTGATTTCCAGAGCATCAGAACCAAATTCCTAACGCGCATTCTTCATCAGAGGTGTTTTTCATGTCCCCTCTTAAGATGGCTTCCAGGCAGTCACTTGTCGTCTTGCCGGCGATCTTCTTTCAGCACTCGCCATGGCAGGACTGTCGAAAACTGGTGCCATTACCTGGGCACTGACGCTGGCTGGTCTTGCCCACAGCCATGGAGACTTCATCGCCGACAGGGACACAACATCGGATATTATAAAGAATAAGGACCAGATACTCTCGGTTCCGCTTACGAGAATTCACCAATCATTAATGCCCGAGATTCCATCACGACTGAGGGCGCGTTATTTTCAATCAAGCGTAAAGGATATCATTGGAGCCGCATATTTGGCAGACAGTAAGACTGATGACCGCCTTCCATCATGACATCTGAAAACTTACTAATGTGGTCGTGGGCAGTTACTGTAGGCACAGGGAATCCGGACCAGACTATACAAGTCCTGCTCGATACTGGATCCTATGAACTCTGGGTAAATCCAAACTGCTCAAAATCATCTGTACCTGAGCTTTGTGAATCGTTTGGGCAGTATGATCCTAGTTTGTCGCCTACAGCTCAAAATTTGAATGCAACATCCCAGATCCGATATGGCTCAGGGAGTGTCAACATATCATACTTTACGGACGATGTTTCAATTTCATGTAGGTAGCTCACATCGGGATCCTCGTCATGAGTCAACTAACATCTTAAAGCTGGCCGAATTAGCACTCAACAGTTCGGTGTCGCCACAGACTCTCAGAGTGTCTGGTTTGGCATCATGGGTCTTGGTTATGGCAGACGGCAAGCGGGCTCAACAAAGGGTTCTCTCAAGTACGACTCCGTCATCGATAATATATACGACCAACAGTACACCAACAGCAGGCTTTTTGGCCTCGAACTGGGTCTTCAGGGAAAGCCACAGATTGCGGTCACGGGCCAGATTATTTTTGGTGGTGTCGATACCAACAAGTACGCCGGAAATCTGAGCAAGATTCCCCTCGAAGAAGTCGACTCGCACTATCGCGTCAAGTTGACATCCATTTCCCACCAAACACCCGGAAATGCTGCATCGACGATTACGGAGACATCTCAGATTGTCATTGTCGACAGCGGCACCACCTTGTCAATCCTTCCTCGAGATGTCGTCGAGTTGATTGCATCGCAATTCCCAGGCGCCACCTACGATGGTGACGGCACCTATCTAGTCCCATGCGCTTTGCAGGACGAGCCCGGCAGCCTCAGCTTTGGCTTTGATAACACGGTCATTACCGTACCTTACTCCGAGTTTATCTGGGGCGCCGGTAACTATAACGGTACAGACATATGCCTGCTAGGAGTGCAGTGGAACACCAACTCCAACATTGACGCCGCCAAGAGCTATCTCATCCTGGGAGACACATTCATGCGCGCCACCTATACCGTCTTTGACCAGGATAACAATGCCCTGTACATGAGCAACTACACGACCTGCGGGACACAGAGCTCGATAGTCGCCGTGCCCGCCGGCCTCGATGCCGCGGCCAATATTCCTGGCAACTGTGAGCCGCCGACCGTGTCCGAGCCTGCTATGACCACGGCCACCACTGGGACCAATGTCACTCCAATTTCTACAGGATTATTTAGTAGTGGTGATCCGAACCCTGTCGGGCCTGTTTCCATGACCCCTTCTGTCAGCTCTTTCACGCCGTCGTCAACCAGTACAGCTGAGAGCGGTTCATCGAGCAGCGGCGTCGCAACTTCAGAAGCGCAGCAGAGTGAAATGTCTACGCCCTTGAGCACAGCTACTTCTGAAGACTTTGCTGCCACAAGTTCTTCTGGTGGTAGCTCTCCTGTCAACAGCTCTCCTTCCGATAGCACGCCGAGTAGTACCAATCCAGGTGACATCTCCTCTGCAAGTGGTTCTCCCATTGCGAGTTCATCTGCAGATACTACTATTCCCCAAAGCACTGATCAAAGTACTACCGTGGGGGGCAGCGATACCCAGACTGCTACTCAGACTATGACTGCCGAGAGTACTACCTCTGAAACTCCCTCATCAAGCGTGACCAGCCTCCCCGACGAACGCATCATTTTTGGCGTCTTAGCCGATGGCGGCGCGGCCAAGAATGGAACAAGCAAGCGATCTACCATTTCACATGGCGCCTTGAAACTTGCCAAGCGTCAGTCCAATGGCGGCTTCATTGGCGGCGCCGGCCCAGCGAACCCATCTTCGTGCAGTGATGCCTCGGGCTTTGGCTTGATAGACGGTCAACTCGTCAGCAATGACGGGGGTGGATTAATTGCCACCGAGCCCGGCGTCGAGTCCATGGTCCTGCGTGTCTCGCCCACGGGCGGTAGTATCAACACTACCTTTGCCGTTGTCGATGGCATCTTGCACTGGTTCAATGATGCCTTCTTTGGAGGTGAGGCGACTTTTTGCCAGACTCCCGATGGACAGGTCAATCTAGTCTTTACCGAGGACGGTGCCCCTGCCGGCTGTGGAGAGGTGTCTGTTGCCGTGTATTCGGCGTCCCAGTGCCAGAATGGCGAACTTGTGCTTTCTGCATCCAGCTCAGCCACCGGATCAGTCACTTCTTCCATCACTGCACCCTCTGACGGGATCACCGCGACTACTACGGGCACTTCAACCGGCGCCGAGAGCACTGGCGATGGTGTTGATCAGTTTCCCATCTCCCCTGCCCTGGTCACCTCAACCAACACCATTACAACCACCGTCACCAACTACATAGCCTATACCATTACCGCGTGTCCGCCATCTGTACAAGGCTGCCCGATAGGCCAGATTACAACCAGCACCCAAGTCTACGTAACGACCATCTGCCCAGAGGACTCGGCGCCAGCAGCAACCACGCAACCGCCGTCTGCCGGCTCCGGTGGTGGCGGAGCCGCAGCAGCAGATGGAGGTAATGCCGTCGCCGTCATTGTCGCCGTGACCGTGACGGAAGAATGCGAGACGAGCACTTTTGCCGTGTCGACCTGTGCAGCCAATGACGACGACAATGATTGCGTCCTGGGCCGTACCACGACGACTACTTATACGCGGTACCGGACCATTACCACTACCCAAGAGGCCATGGCTACGGCCACGGCGGTGGGCGATACGAGCGACACTACCCCCGAGATGGCCAACGCTTTACCCGAGCCAAGTGAGACGCTGTTGATAGCGCCAAACAAGGGCGCGCAAATCGATTCCGGCTCCGGATTTAATAGCTCCGCCGCTGTCAACTTTGCGTGTCCCGGTTGCGCTGTCAATGTCGTTCCTTCGGGCAGTGCTGCCTTTGGAACACCCACGGCGAGCTTCATGCCTGTCCAAGCTGGCGCGGAAATGTCGAGGGTCGGTGTCGTGGGGGTATTCGTGAGTGCTTTTGTTGGAGCTCTGATGTTAATTTTGTAGGGTGGAATCAGGATTGCTTTTGTACTTTTTGTGCTTGTTACATGGTTGACTGGCGGAAAGGGCATCGGAGCAAGGTTTCATGTACTATCTTTTGGGGTTTATTTCTCGCATAGATGGCATTTGTTTCTGATTCACGGGCTGCAAAGACCCGACTAATGAGGGCTTGGAGATGGGTACTCAAAAGGGATGGCCTTGGGCACTTTGCACGAGGTATACGATTGTCATGTTTAGATAGAAAGGTTTCGAGATAGTTTAGATAATGCTTGGTTAATCGGAAAGCAACGACAGTTCTTGGAACCTCCCCTTGTGTGCTCAAGTCCGAGCAATGGTGCAACCTCAAGTGCAAAATCATGTCACTTTCAATCTATTCATGAGCCTTGACACAACGGAAAGAAGACGGACATTTACAACTCCCACATAACCAATGGCAACTCATATTTGGATATCAACTACTAAACACTCGAAATCGCTCCATTGAAAACGAACCCACATTCTTCCGTACGCCAGGATATGATGATGTCTGTAAAGCCCCAAGGTAAAACAAAGACAAAGTAAAGTTGATAGCGGAGGCAAATTTGGGAGGAGCAAAACAGCAAAAATCAACCCACTGCCTTTCCTGTCTTCAGCTCCAGTGCTGCATGATGCAAAAAAGACAAAGCAAAATCTTCCATATCGAAGCCAAGTGCGGCCATTAAGATTACCCACTCAGCGGCAAGATCATGGCACCATTAATATTGCCAACGAGAACCGCGCGCATGGCCATCCCGTGTACGTGGCGAATTCGGCTTGTATAACACCGCTGCTGCCAGTGTTACCAGCACTTCAGACTCTTCCAGAACTGGCGTTTACTCTTGCCGGTATTGTCATTGGGACCATTGCGCACCCCTCGAGCATTCGGATCCCTCTTTTCATTGTCGGCATCGCGATCGCTACCAATGGGCGTCAAAGGCCGTGTGGCACCTCTCTGGTTCATCTCGGGGTTGCCCACGACTCCAGCAGCAGCGCGCCTGCGCGACTCGACAACGCGGCGTATAATGAGAGCAAAAGTCTCCTCGATATTGACTTCGAGGCGGGCACTCGTCTCCATGAAGCCGCAGCCGCGCTTACGGGCCCAGTCCAAGCCCTGCGACGCCGAGATCTGCCGTGACTCTTGCAAATCGCACTTGTTGCCGGCGATAATCTTGACGGGTGGGATGGTGCGGGATCCGAATTCGCTCTCGTCTGCGGTGGCGCCAGGCCGGAGACCAGCTTTTTGGGCGCGCGAGGCATTGTCGAGCCGCGTTTCGGCCTCCATGTCAATCAGGTCGTTGAAGTAGCTCAGGGACTCGAGGCTGCCGCTCGAGGTAATGTCGTAGACGAGCAGAAAGGCGTCGGCGCCCAGGTTGGTCGACGCCCACATGCCGCGGTACTCCTCCTGACCGGCCGTGTCCGTCAATGACAAGTGGTACGAGGCGCCATCGACTCGCCTCGTGATGCTGTAGCTGTCCTCGATCGTAGGGTCGTACTCGGAAGTCCATTGCGATCGCACGAGTCGTAATGTGATGCTCGACTTGCCGCAGCCGCCGTCGCCGCATATCGTGATGGAGATGGGCGTCGGCTCTTGTGAGTCGGCCGCGTGGGACATGGCGCCTTTCTTTTCCGTGTGTAAAGATTTCGCTTAGCACGTGTAGTATAAGCGGCCTGGCTCGTGGACGGCACGATTTTGGGCCAGAGAATGATCACGGCAGAGGTGAAAACGAATGGGTGCGCGTGGGAAACAGTAACGAACGAGAGGGGCCTCAAGGACCTTGTTGTTTTTTCTTTTCCTTTTTTTGCTTTTCTTCCTCTCTTTAGGACTCGCAGACCCTACTGTTGTTGTCCTGGTCCCTTTCTGCCCGGGCAGCCAGGGATGGATGTGTTTGCTGCTGTTGCCCGGCCTATTCGTGCCCTTCTACACGCAGGTGGAAAATCGCAGATGTGTGGATTGTAGTGACGCAGCGTTAAGGTTGAAGGCGGCGTCTAATCAGTAGGTCCCAGTGAATCGTGCAGTAGTGGACGGCTCGGTGGATTTGGAACCTGGGCTCTAGGCCCGATTCGCGATATTTTGTTCCGGTAGTAGTTAGAAGGAGGAAAACAAGGTTCGAGGAATGCTGGAAAAGGCGCGTGGTTTTTTCTTCTTCTTCTTCCTCCTTTCTCTCGGTGTTGGTGGAACTGAATTATTGTAAATTGATGGGTGTGGGAAGTTTGATGGTTTTGGTTATGCTCAGAGGCGAGTACTGAAGTGTCCGCCTGCCTTCAATATGAAATGTTTCGTCTGACCGGAAAACGCCTCTGCTTCTGTGTTAGTTATATTGGCAAGAGGAGCCTAAAAGGAAGCGAACGTTGCCGCTATTCTGACAGTTGCTCTTTTAGTAGGGTGTGGGGGTGCTCCAAAAGTGCTTTGGGGTGGCTTTTTGGGGGGTGGTGGGTGTTGATTACATTTAGACGCCAAGTAGTCGAAGGTTGAGGCGGTCTTTTGGCTGGTCTCACGTGCCCTTGGAATGTCGCACAATTCCAAAGTGACAAGTAGAGGTTGTGGAATGAAAGATGTCAGAAGGGAGACGGAGAGTTGATGAGGAGGAAAACTCTATCGAGAAGACGGGACGTGAATGAGAGGAAACTGCACACACACACACATACATACTCGGGAGATCGACGAACTTGCTTCTTTTCCCTGGTCCGGCAGCTTTTGGAGGGCCAAGAACGGGCAGCCCGAAGGAAGCAGACAAACAAGCTCGGCAGGCAAAAGCTATCAGCTACCTGGTATCTATTGCCTCTATTCTCCGGGATGGATACAGGGATTAGCAGCAGCAGCACCTGTACGTGCCTTACCTAAGATAACGGTAATCCATACTGTCAGTTTGCGACTGCCGGATAGCGAAAACCAGAGTTGATCATCGCCGACTCCCAAACATGCAGTGCTGCAGTCAAACCACTTTGAAGAATGTTGCCCACTGTCGCTAGGAGGTGCGACGAATCTACGGTACTTTTTTTGGTGGTATTCCATGAGTTCTAGCGGCGACCTCGCGTCTGAACGATGCGTTTCCGGTCAGAGATGGCGCCGGGACTTGTGGGATCAATTGCAAGTCGAAGTTCCACTGGCAATGGTCATCCGTTGAAACGCTCGTCGCATCTCAATCCGACGTCATTGGGGGACCCTGATTGTGCCAGGTTCATATTGGTCAAGGCGTTTTTTCTATATTTCTCATCCAAGCGTTGACAAGTGGTATACTCTTTCTCGTATTCATTGAATCGTCAGAATATAGTGTCTTGATGATGTCTTTTGGTTTTTCTCTCATTTCTCGAGACAAGTAATTGGGCAGAAATAGCTGCCGGACGCAGGTGCACAACCAAATGCATGCATGCACGTATGCAAACACACAGACACTCGACGCGCATCTGCAATCTACACTGAGGGTACCCAAATTTCCCGCGGCTCATTGCGAACCTATCCCGTCTCGACATTAATTTATGTCCGCCCCTCCACCAAATGATCAATATTCCACAACCTAGGATGAATTATATCTCTCGCATTTTCTTTAGGAATCGTGTCCTTGTTCTATACTGTAATTGTTTCCCCCCCTCTAATTATCCAGTCACATCCATCACATTGCATTTGGGCGCTTGTCATGTCACATGTGTGCTATCCTGCGTGTGGGTCGTTGCATTCGCCTATCCTCTCTCATCATAAATCTGGCCAGACTACGAGTTACATAATAGGTAGGTATGTGTATGAACAACAGGACAGACAAACTCGCGACTCTAGGCAAGATCGCCCAATGACTGGGCAGTAGGAATCAGTGTGATACCTAGTTCTATTCAACATGTCATTGCCATCATGCTTCGTCGATGTTAACATTGTTGCAAATGTCTCCAAAAACACCCATCATGTGCTTCAAATTCTCCTGAACCTCGCCAACTCTCACGGCGCAGTCCTTACCCAGGACCATTCGCACCTCCTTTTCACAGCCTGCCCCGATACCCTCGCCGACAACCACCTCGTAGATGGCCTTGACGGCCTTTTCGTGGTCTCCTTTGATTGGCATGTTTTTAGACTTGAAAACATCATAGTATTTTTGCAGCACAGTGCCGTCATAGTCTGCATCCAGCGGCTTTCCCGCCAGGTTCACATGCGACGCCATTGGCGTATTGAAGGAGCCCAAGTAGACGAGCAGAACGCGGACATTAAAGTCAGCCACCTCCCTAGCCAATGTCGTCGTGATGTCTGTAGAGATTCCAAGTTAGCCCTTTTGTAAGAGCACGGGCAAGGTAGAGCTTCAGCTCCAGGATATACTCACTGTCCAGTGCACTCTTGCTAGCCCCATACGCCCCCAGCGTCTCCCGGGCCTGGAGTCCGGACCCACTGCTGAGGTTGACTATAACGCCGCTCCTCCGCGCCCTCATGAACGGCACCATGGTGCGCATCAGCCGGTAAGGGCCGAAAAAGTTTATCTCCATGAGCTCCCGGATTTCCTCCTCGCTAAAGGCCTCGACGGGCCCCGCCTTGGCTACCCCGGCGCTGTTGACCAGGACGTCAATCTGTGTGCCGCCCTCCTCGAGCGCCGTGATGATCTCGGCCGATAGAGGTGAGGTGACGTCCAGGCTTAGCCAGCGGCCCCCCGCCGACTCGACTTCTTGCACCAGCTCAGGCGTTTTCGATGGTGTGCGGGATGTGGCAATCACATGATGGCCGGCAGCGAGGGCGTGTCGGGCCAGCTGTAGACCGAGGCCTGAAGAGCAACCTGTGATTAGCCAGGTCAACGGCTTGGATGTCTTTGGCGAGAATTGCATTTTTGGACAAGTTCTCAGTAACTGATTTGAATTGCGATAAATGGCGGTGCATGTACACAACTATATCATGATCGGTTCCTATGCTTGATATATGTCAGCATAGACGGAGATAATCATTATCTCCACCAGACCCAGCTTTAGTCCTGACGGAGCTTGTACTTATTTACGGGTTACGGTGCAGCACTGGTAATGCAGTATACGACGGGAGACAACTCATATATGTAATTGAGAAACGGTAAGAGTGCCGACTTAGGATCAATGCTGTCTTAAGCAATTGACAACGATCCTGGCATTCAATGATTTATGGTCCATTGCTGTATCAAGTGGCACCTGACGCAGGAGCACTATTTTGCTCGAAATTCACACTTTGAAGAAAATATTTGTTTTTACAGCGATACGACATTTCCGTAGTGTCTGCCATCGCTTGCGAGGTAAATGTTCTGCTCCGATATGCTCAAAGATATATTTAAGCAAAGTATGAGACTATAAGAATGCCATGCGATTTCTTCTTCACTTTATATACAGAGACTTTTGGGATTGCACCTAAGCTCATACATGTAGGATAGTCTGCCAGCCTAGTAATCGGAACGTACATCTTCGTCGTAAATCAAAAGCTCATGCCATTCAACGAAACAGCGTGCACCCAACCCGTGACATTCCTGACAAACAAGCAGCTTATCATTATCGCACCAGGAACAGTAGAACCGTGGCTCATAGAGGGAGACGGAAGCAAAACACACATCGCAGTAAGCACCAGTATTCAAGAACTCAACGGGTTCTCCAATCGCTGGTCGCATGTGAGTTTCTATCATGTCATGGTTGTTAGACCGCTGATATGCCAGAATCTCCGTTGTGATGATGTCGTGCCTCTGCTTCTGGGCCCACCAGAGAGGTGTTCGGCCAAAGGAATCCCGTGTAAGCAGATCAACATTAGGCAGAGCTGCAATTTTCCGAAACGCTGCTACGTTGCCGGACCGAGCAGCAAATGATATTGCCGTGGAGCCCCAGTGATCTTTTGCATCGAGATCGAGCTTATTTTGCGCGAGTAGAACATCAACCGCTTCAGGATGATCCCAAATGATGGCGTATACGAGTGCTGATCGACCATAAATATCCCTAGATTCATGGTCGGCGCCAGTAGCGAGAAGCAGATCCACAATTCGCCAGAATGCCCGCCTTGCTGTCACAAGCAGCAGCGTTGGTTCGTTTCCGGGCAGCCTGACATTTATATTTGCACCATGCTTGACAAGCATTTCCACAATAGCTTCGCGGCCGTTCCTAGCAGCCCTAGATAATGGTGTGACGCCACCTTCATCCATATGGTTGACACCAGCACCGTGATCCAGTAGCAAGCGCACAATAGCTTCGTGGCCGTGCTTAGCAGCCCTAGATAATGGTGTTTCGCCATATTCTGCTATATGGTTAACACCAGCACCGTGATCTAGTAGCAAGCGCATAATAGCTTCGTAGCCGTGCTTAGCAGCCCTAGATAATGGTGTTTCGCCATATTCTGCTATATGGTTGACATCAGCACCGTGATCCAGTAGCAAGCGCACAATATTGTCGTAGCCGTTGCTAGCAGCCTGAAATAATGGTGTTTCGCCATCTTTATCCATCTGGTTGACATCAGCACCGTGATC